TCAAAAACCCTAGCGTTGCGGAAAGCACGCCGCTTCCCCATCCAACAACCTGTAGCGCCCGCTTTGTGCAGGCGGAAAATGGCACCTGGGACCTCTACGATTACATAGCTGCCCTGGCTGCGGTCGGGAACCCTGGCCTGCTTCTTAGCGGGCCGTTCCACGACCTCTGCAGAGGCCTCGGAGCTACTCCCGGCCACTAGCGGTTCCGCGGGCTCGTCCGGTCCCTCGGGAACCTCTAGCTCCTCCGCCTCGGTCGGGACTCCTAGCAGGCCCTCCATCCAGATCTTCCGCAGCCTCGCCGCCATGTGGATAGCCTGGCTGTGGGTTAGCTTGGCCCTCTCTTCCAGCCAGGGCTCGAGGTCCGCGGCGATTTCACGCTCGTCGAGCGCCTCGTAGCGGTCGTCCCCCCTAGCTGTCTTAGCGAAGAGAGCTTGGAGACGGGACACCCTACCCGCATAGGATCTAGCGTACACGTCGGACCCCTCGGGTTTCCAACGCCCTAGCAGATCCTTGTCTTGCGGGGGGATCTCCTTTAGCGCCAAACCTGTTGGTAGCACCGAGCGCTCACTGTGCTCCGTCCAATAGCCCTGGACCTCCCGTGGGTAGCCCATGATAGCCAGCAGCCCCGCGGTTGCCACCATAGCGTCCGCATAGGTAGCCATCTTCTTCTCCAGTTGCCCCGCCCGGCCCAGCCGCGGCATGAGGTAATCCCGGGCGTAGTTAGCGTGGGCCTTGAGGAGATCGAAGCCGGTCACCAGCCAGCTCTTAGCGACCAGAAAGGCGTGCTCGGACACCACGACCGGTAGCTCTTTGACCCTTCTCGTAGCGCCGGAAGTCTTGGTCTTCCGGAGGATGGTGGTGAGTCGCCCCTCCACCATCACTAGCTCGGCCGGCAGGATAGCCTGAAGGTCCGACCATCTTAGCGTGGCCCAGACCTTGACCAACTTAGCCCAGGCCCAGATCCGCCAGCCTGCGGCCAGGGCGGGGTTGATGACCACGAGCTCTAGCTGCACCAGCATGTAGACGGGGTAGCGGGGCGCTCTCTTGATCAAGGGGGCTCCCTCCGCTAGCTGCTCCACAATGCTGTCCTTAGCGGCCCAGACCAGGCGACCAAAGGTGGTCCTTAGCTCCACCGGAAAATCGGCCACCTTCTCCATCCAGGAGATAGCCTTAAGAATAGCTTCCGGGACCGAACGGCCGCAGGGTTCATCACTCCTAGCGAGGAGGTAATCCACCAGGTCCGCGGCGGTGCCCGGGGGCGGCCTGAGCTTAGCTGCGTGGAGCCATTGGCGCCGCTGCCTGTAGTAGCTCAGGTAGCGCTTCAAAGTCGAAGCCCGGGTCTTCCCCGGAAGCAACATAGCTGCCCTTGCGGGGTCCAGACTCCCGTGCAGCTTAGCGAGAACCGGGGCATGTATCTCTAGCAGCTCTTCACGAAGCTTCCTTGCCCAAACCTCTAGCAGTCGCTCCTCTCTAGCTGCACTGATCGTGCTGGGCTGTAGCGTCTTCCGATTCCGCTCCCCGGGGGGAGGTCTTAGCGGCGCAGGTGGCTGATGCACCGCGTCTTCGACCTCTTCCCTTGGAGCAGGTAGCGGTGGCATCCGGGCTCTCCAGGTGATATCGTCCGTGCACCCTCTGATAGACAGTAGCTTCCTGCCGCGCTTCCTGCAGCCAACAGTAGACACCATCCCATAGCCACGGCTGGTATGGTATGCCTAGCTCTCGAGCTAGCTGCTTGGCGACATCCTCCGCGTCGTCCAGACCACTGCTAGCTCCAAGACCCCAAACCCTTGGCTGGAGAGGTGCCGGTAGGCCCTGTCTAGCGTGCGCCTACGTTCCTGTTGGACCGTAGCCTGCGCCTCTAGCTCAGCCTCCATCTCCCAGCCCTCGAAGAGCACTCCCGTCTCCTCGGGCTGTGGGTCGCTAGCTGGGGTCTGCGGGACCCACGAGGGTACCTCCCCGGAAGGAGCCCCCGCGGTATCGTCCCCCCCTAGCGTGGGGACCTCGGTGGGACACGAAGCACTTAGCGGGGGCGGGGAATCCCCAACCACAGTAGCGCAGTCGACGGCCGTAGCGGCTGCGCCATCTGGCGTGGTCGGCGCCAGGGTAGCGTCGCTGTCCGACATGGCAGCGCCCCAAAGCAGGGCTAATTAGCCCTGTTCCCCTTCCTACCCCCACTCGAAATTTGCCCCCCAATAGCTGGGGGCCTTTCAGCACAATGGCCACGGAGTAGCACTGCTTCACCGGCCATGTGCAGACACTCTAGCAAACAGACAGGCTTCGTTCTGTTTAGCTTCAGAGGAAAACCCCTTCGACGTTTTCTAGCGAAACACCTTCGATGTTTCCCAAAGGGATACTGGCGCTAGCATACACTGTCGTACCTCGTCCCTCGGCACGAGTGCGTTGTTGTTGTTGTTGTTGTTGTTGTTGTTTTTGCTGCTGTTGTTGTTGGTGTTGGCGGGGGCGGTGGTGGCGACGGCGATGGTTGTGGCGGTGGCGGTGGTGGTGGTGGTGGTGGTGGTGGTGGTGGTGGTGGTGGTGGTGGTGGTGGTGGTGGTGGTGGTGGTGGCGGTAGTGGTGGTGGGTGGTGGGTGGTGGTGGTGGTGGCGGTGGGTTGTGTGGTGTTAGATCTTGTTGTTGTAGCTTTTGGTCCTGTCACTTGTCATTTGATTATATGCTTGTAAAAGCTTTTGCTGCTGTGGTTGAGAGGTGCAGCCTGTGCTGCCTCGGGTGGATGTATCGATCGATTGGTCGAAGACCGATTATGAGCTATTCGTGGCCGAGCTGGACGCTGGAAAGTGGGACAATCCGCTGTGTGATACCGTTCTAGACTTACCTTTCCTCTCTGGTGGTGTAGCACATCAGCCCCTTCTGTTGATGTGTTATGCCCTTGGAGAAATAAGGCTATGATGCTTGAGTGTGCTGGCTACCTGCTCTACAGCAAGCATTTGACCCTGCCTGGGCAGTGGGAACCATGTCTGCAGTGGCAAACCCAAACCAATTCCGATTTATGATGCTGCCTGGTCGATAACCATGGTCTTCGCTAAGGACGGTGTTCGTGAACGTCTCCAGAAGCACCTGGGCTGTGTTGATATCATTATGGGCTGTGCTCGCAACTTATTTGGTAAGGGATCCCTGGTCTGGCTTTGGTTTCAAGTAGGTACACTAACTGAGGTATATCCCGAAGCCGAACAAGGACAAGGTGTCGAGCACAGGATGCTTCAACGAAGCTCGGCTTGAGGTGTGTGGCTGGTGGGATAAGGCTCGCTTATGCGACTGGAGCACATAGCTGATGATATAGCTTTAACACGATACGTGGTATACTGCTTGGACTTTGAACCTTCAGGTCCTCAGGATGTAGAAGTTACAGACAGGAGCTAGATGAGATGGTGACACTGTAAGTATCCTCGTTCTTCGCAAGGATCATGGTTTCAGATTGAAGCTTCAAGGTTGGGGTTTTGGGCTTTGTGGTTCAGGGTTGTGGGTTCACGGCTGAAAGTTTACGATAATTAGTCAGGCTTCAGATCTGGGGTTTTAGCGTATATACTGGCCTTATATATGTACGGTTAGCCTTAGGTCGGGTTTAAGCTTTAGGGTTTGGGGGCTCGGGTTTTGCCGTTCCGGGTTGTGGCTTGAGAGCTGAAGCTTTAGGATACTTTGCTGTGCTTTAGCTAAAGGACGTAGTCTACCAGGCCAAAGCAGGGTTAGTCCGAATGTGATAGGGTTGCGAGTTTGAGCTTCGGGTTTTTGCGGTTCCGGGTTGTGGGTGGAGGGCTGAAGCTTCAAGGAATTGTAGAGCTTTATGGGTTTTAGATCCAAGGGTTTCTATACCGGTCTTATATATGGTTAGCCCCAAGGTCAGATTCTGTTGTAGTTCCATATTAGTCCTGACCCTCTCTTTCTCGCTCTGGCTCTGGCTGTCGCTCTTTCTCGCTCTGGGAAAGTCTTGCTCTCTCTCTCTCTCTCTCTCTCTCTCTCTCTCTCTCTCTCTCTCTCTCTCTCTCTCTCTCTCTCTCTCTCTCTCTCTCTCTCTCTCTCTCCCTTTCTGTATCTATCTCTCTCTCTCTCTCTCTCTCTCGCTCTCTCTCTCTCTCCCTCTCTTTCGAAGGGGAAGGAGCGTATTCAAACAGCACCCTTCTCTCTCTCTCCTCTCTCTCTCTCTCTCTCCTCTCTCTCTCTCTCTCTCTCTCTCCTCTCTCTCTCTCCTCTCTCTCTCTCTCTCTCTCTCTCCTCTCTCTCCTCTCTCTCTCTCTCTCTCTCTCTCTCTCTCTCTCTCTCTCTCTCTCTCTCTCTCTCTCTCTCTCTCTCTCTCTCTCTCTCTCTCTCTCACACTCTCACACACTCTCTCACTAGCTCATACACACACACACACACACCCGCAGACTGCAAAGTCTGGTCTGCTGAAGCACGACGACCCGCAGTCCCGATCACCCGAACTTTGCGATCGTCCCGAACCCTGAAAATTCGATCCCCGGATATACATATATATATATATATATATATATATCCGCCTGAACAACCACCATATATATATATATATATATATATATATATATTAATACGTACCGGAGCAAGATCGATGATGCAGCCAGGGTTGTCTGCACGCCCAAGGATGTCTTTGGGCCACCACCGCCGTGATCCTCCACAGGTGATATCGCTAGCTTGGTTAGTTCTGCCCTCGATTAATTAAGTGCCTAGCTTGATAATATGTATATATTTATACCTAATATAGACCCAAAAACCTATTATATAGTGTCCCCTAAACCAATTATGTCATATATGCTAGCTGGGCAAATTCAAGTTTCATCAAGATCTGAGGTCCTGGGATGAAAAGGGTGCGCGTCGAAAACGTTCGAGCGCTAGTTAAAATCCACTGAAATGCTAGTTAAAACCGCGTCGAAAGCGTAGAAATGCACGTACCCTATTTTTTTGGCCTGCGCGTACTCTAAAATCCTGTGCTTTAGGCTCAATCATATGGTGATACTGTGCCCTCGGCTCTAGCAATGGCAAAAGACATCGGGAAGGTGCTTAAAGCCGGCAAAGCCTTTAAAGGTGCCTTAAGGGAGGCGAAGGATGGACGTGGCAGCTCCAAGGCCGTAGACCTTGAGGTTCCCCTGAACACCGAGTTCTGTGGTACCACCCTACGGAAGCTCATGAAGGCAGAGGGCATCACACGTGAGGAGGCCACAGCTGTCTTCCTTGCGTGGCAGGCTTCGTGTGAGGAGCAGGGTCTGCCGAGCGGGCCCACCCCTAAGGCAAAAGCCCCGAAAGCAGCCGACACCAAAACGCGAGTCACCGGCAAGCGTCCTCCCTCTCCTGAGCAGCCTGCCACCAAGAAGCCAAAGAAGGCAAAGGCAGAGGATCCGGGCCCAGATCCTATGGTCTTTGCTCCCGCAAGTGCACAGGATGTCGCTGATTTCTTCGGCACAGAGAAGGAGAATGTGCTGAAGAATAAGAAGCAAGAGTCCGCCAACGAGGTCGAGGACCTCGATGGTGAGCCGTGGGATGAGAACGAGGGCTTGGAAGAGGATTGGGAGGATTCGGGAGACTGGGAGGAAGGCTGGGAAGGCTCAACAGATGAGTATGATTGGGAGGCGGAGTACCCTGGCTTTTGGGACGCTTATTGGGAGCATAAGTATGGGGATGGCTTGGAAGCCAAGCTTGAAGCGCTTGTGGATGGCCAGGAGCAAGCCCTGGCACTCTCTTGCCCAGCAGGACCTGCCGAACCAAAGGAGGGGACCACACAAGAAGCCGCAAGCACACCAACAGGACCTGCCGAACCAGAGGAGAGGACCACAGGAGAAGCCGCAAGCACACCAACAGGGACCCCGTGCATGCCCCATGATCCAAGCCAAGCGGACACCCAACCCCTGGATACGGATCTCGAGTCTCTCTTGTCACCTATCTGTAAATCAGCACATGGAATATGAAGGCTTTGTTTTGCAATTTATTGTAGGGGATTACATTTATTGTAGTGGCAAAGTATAACAATATTTGTGGTGGGGTTCAGAATGGTGCTTTGTGGTGGGGCCTACACTAGCTATTATGCTTGAGTTTAGATACAGACATAGATATAGATATAAGTATAGATGTATGAATATATAGGTATAGATGCAGATGCAAAGAACTTAAATTTTAGTATTGGGTATACATTGGGGGTTTTATGTTTCTAGTGGTTGAATTAGCGGCTTAGGATTTATCGGGTTTAGACGGAGCTTTCAGGTCCTCGACCACCCTTGTCATGGGCCAGCAGAGCATCGCTGGCAAGTCCACACGCCTCAGCCCCGTTCACCGTACGACTTCCACTTCGACGCTACTTTGCCTGAACTATTGTGCGTTGGCCTTGTCTAGTTCTATTCCAGTATTGCTGCATTGAGGCTTGGGCCTTCAGCAAGTGCTCTTGGGTCGGATGCATCTACCCTGAACTCGTTGGTTGAGAGGATGCAACAGCTTGAAATTCACAACAAACAGTTGCAGGATATGCTGCGACGACAGAATGCTACATCCTTCGGTTCTGCTAGCCCAACAAAAGGTGTGGAGCCGCTGTCAGCCAAGACTATTCAGGAGGATCCTAAGGATGCCACCCCTGCAATGACGAGACCTATTGCCACGCCTGTTCGAGCCCCTGCTCCAGCCGCTCTACCGGCTCTACCAGCTGCTCCCGCCGAGGTGCCACAGTGTTCTGATCCCCAGGAGCCTGAGGTGAAGGTGAACAGTTCTACCCATCCAAAGGAGTATGCCAAACTTGTTTCTGGGCTCAATTGTGAGTTGTGGTCTTGTGGTTTCAGGACTGTATATGTGGGTGAGTGTGTGTGTGTGTGGTTGTTTGTGCTAAGAACCGGCTGTACGATGCGGGCAAGCTGGCGGCTTTCCCGGAGATGTCGAATCTCTGGGAAAGCAACCTCCAGGACTGCTTGGCTTGTGTGTGATGGCCCCTGCATGGTAATCCTCTGTGCTCAGGAGAAGAACAAGCTGCTCAGAAAGTTCATCTCTCACGGCCAGAATTGCATGAGGCAGAGCTGCTGGTGTTAAAGGAGCAAAGCCTCACAGGCAAGCGTGTGTGGAAGCAGCTGCGTGTGTGCGACATGCCGAAAGCACCCTACTTCTTTCCTCCGTGCCTTGGTTGTATACGACATATGTATGCATACACACACATATATATATATATATAAAAACCATAAAGCCCTGAACAATCCTGGAAGCTGTCGACACCAAGGGACAAAATTGAGGGGATCATTGCTCAAGGAGGAGGCGAAAAAGATGAACACAGCCCTGACAACCTTTCCCTGACGCGCTTTTGGGTCGTGGTGGACCGCGAGAAGACCGAGATGGAGCGATCAAAGCTACTTAGTTGATGCCATAAAGGATAGGATATGTGTGTTTGTGCAATCCTATTGCGATCTGCAGTCAATACTCAGGATCAGTGCTCAGATCAAAGTCAATGCGGTAGCCGATGAAGCTTTCATGGCTGGCTTGGGGTCGAACGGCTTGCCGTCGGTTTTGCACCGAAGTGCCCCTGCGACTGCTGCGCACCCCTTAAATGGGGATGTGCTCAAGGCCTTTGACAAGTACAACACCGGGCTTCAGGAAGCTGCTGCTGCGGCCTGTGGCTTGTCTGAGCTGTGTGAATGCAACTGCGGTTTGATTAAGTTCGTGCTACGCTGCTACGTGCCACCCAAAGGCAATGCTAGTGGTGCCGGTCGTGGGAAAGCACCGAAGAAACGTGCTGGTGCGAAATCTGTGGCTTCTGCTGCGACGACAAAAACCAGGGCAAGCTTGCTCAACGAAGTCTTCAGGACGGATGAGGATAAGCATCAGCGATGGAGTTTCTAGGCTCAATCCAATCACAAATGCGAAGCCCGGAAACCTAAACCCGAGACCCCAAGGTTGAAGCTACAGTGCCTATAATTCCTGAGACCCTGCAGTTGAATTCTGTATTGTTTTGCATCCCCAGGCCAAGAGCTCAAAAAGGAGATCAATGGCCTCTCCAACCTGATGCTCGATTTGGGCGATTCGACCAAGGAGACCGATATGAAATCAATTTTGGTTCGTTACGAGAAGAAACTCAAGAATTTTGCCAAAAAGCTTCCAGCCATGAACGAGATCCCGGTGATAACCTCTGGCCCGATATCCCTTAACTCCATACATAAGGTTCAAGGAGCTGAAGACCGCCGAGGAAATGGACCCCATCTGCCAGCAGATCCACGACCAGGCTACCTGGGTAAGGTTGAGGTCTCGGGCTTAAGGGTTTCAGGGATTAAGGGCTTCAGGGTTTAAGGATTTAGGCCTAGGGGGGGTTGCTTTGCTTGTGGTGATTCGATAAGCCAATCTCAAGGTCATGGAGCTGAGGATGGAGAAGGCCCAAGCACGGGCGTTGGTGACTGAGCTACGCAAGCACGCTTGAGCTTCGCAAAGCGAAAGTGCTATCTAAGTTTTCGTATATTCCTATGGCCGATGGCATAGCAAGGTACAGCCGAAGGTTAGGATATGTGCTAGAAGCTATGGTTGCAAATGCTTTAGGCCATTATGTGTCCGCTGGATGTCAACCATCAGCAGTGTTCTTGTGCAGCCTCTATTATGCTCGCCTTGCGCTCCGGGGTCCCCGTGCTATCATGGGTGAGCTGTGTGAGGTCGAGTGTTTGGAGCTTCAGTGCCTGGTGCAAAACCTACGCGAGTTTTGCAATCTGTGTGCACATGTGTGCATGAGCTAAAGCGAATTCTTAGGCGGTGTGGGGTCGTTTGCAACCAAGCAGGTACTGGACGCACTAGCAAGAATGCTGGTGTAACGCACAAGCTGGACAATGTGCTGCTGGCTTGCATCTGTTTTCAAACACGAATGATGTTGTGGGCAAGGTATTGAATTTAACTGTGCTGCGTCCATGCACAAATAAGGCTGGCCAGGTCTACTGCTGGTGGCGACAACACGATCTCCTTGGCCTGCGAACTGGGAGCCCAAAAAAACTAAACCCCTAAACCCTAAACCCCTGATGCCCTAAGCCCTAAACCCGGCTCCCTTGAACCCTTAACTCCCACTCGAAGCGTTCTTTAAACTTTTGGGTTCTGGCACAGTTCAGGGTCCAGGGTCAACTTTGTGTGTTATGCTTTAGAAGCTGCCCCCACCCTGTAATAGTGGTATCATAGGAATAGAATAGGGCCCTAGTATAATCCTATATAGTCCTGATGGTCACTATTACAGGGTGGGGGCAGCTTCTAAGTTATGCTTTAGAAATTTCTGATGCAGGAGACATTTATGGATCTAGTCTCATGAGTGGCTATGATTCACGACCGTTGCGAGAAGACGAACTTCATCAACGACTTGCAAAATCTGGTCATGCATTGAAAGCAAACCTTTCCTGGGCAACGGTGCCTATATGCAATGCAGATGATGAAATGGCCTTTGAACCCATGCCGGTGATTCTGCCCTCGGAGATGGTATCTAGCCGAGATTATTTATTAAAATTTAGGTACTATAGGAGATAACAATATGTTAACCCCTGTTCCAAAACCTTACGACTGGATGTCCGGCCCAGGCTTCTGCTCTCGTCCAGGCCGGCTTCGGCAGAACAATGGTGTCGGCGAAGCCTGCTGGGTTGCGAAAATATTGGCAACACATGGCTCATGATATGGGCCCTGGGTTTCAGGAGTACGCGGCCGGGCGGGACATGGCTCAGTGTGTGCCGATAGTTCTCTGGGGTGATGAGGGAACTGTTACCAGGCGAAGTTGGATGGCTACCAGCTGGAATCTATGCTTGGGAAATATGATATAAACTCAGGTGTTGATTTACGTTTCCTATATGTAATTATTTTACTGATCTTGAGACCTAAAACCCAATTGTATCTGCTAATTATTGTGTTGTCGGTAAACCTGAACCCTCAAAAGCCAAGGACTCCCGACCTTTCTTGCTTCCGGACAAACTCAAAGGCGAGCCGCTACATACTGTACTCCATTCCTACAGAACTGTACTGGGTGGAAGAAGGCACGAACATGACATTGCAAGGCATGAATGCAGCAATTGTTGCAGACATCAACAAGTTGATTCACTCTGGCATTGAAACTGATGCGGGCGTTTCTTGGAGGTGTCATTAATTTGCTTTCATGCTCTTGTTTCCTATGAGGCCTCATTACATAGTGAGATGATCTCCAATCCAGTATAAGTATTTGGCAACCAATAGTTTACCTTGCACAAACCCGAGACTAAGACGATGTACTTTATCCCAGTTGGCTTCCGTGGAGATTTGAAATACCTCGCGCAAGCCTTCAACTTCAAGAGGAAGCCGGGGAAAGAGCAGGACCAGCCTGGGCGTGTGATGTGTTTGTTTTGGGGATTCATGGGCCAGGGTTTGCTACAAGGGTGTTAGGGATCTTATGGATGTTTATCGAGATAATATGTGCTAATGATTCCTATAGTATTCGTACAAGATCCCCGCAGAATGCGGAGTAGTAAGTGTGGGAGCTATACTCGATCTTGAGATAGATAAACAGATAAACAGATAGATCTTTATTGTGGTTTAAGGATGAGAGTTAAAGTTTTATGTGCAAAAATCGATCCCCTCCCCTGGCAGCCCCTATCCTAAACCCAAAACCACCCAGAACAGGTGTGCTTCAAATGTCTGGCTAGTATGGGGCGACGAGACTGGAGCACAGTCTATACGGATTTCTCGGCAACAGCAGGGTGGCGTGGCACACAGAGCACCGCACCGGAACCTTGGGACGAGTGCCCGGAGTTTGCAAAGATGTCGTTTTTTTCTGCAAGGCTTATAAGGGCCGATTGGATGCATTGTTGGCACATGGGAGTGGGCCGTGATTTGGCTGGTGCGGCCTTAAAGATAATGGCCAGGTGCAAGTTTTGGTATCCTTTGCGAAACATCCAGCTGCGTTTGCGGGCTATGACACGTGACATCAAAGAGTTTGCCAAAGGTCGTGGCAAGCAGCTTTCTATCAAGTATTTGAAGAAATCGTCTTTGCATTGGTATGTGGATCAGTGTCCTGAGCTACACGCCAGTGCTTACAGTGCTTACTACACGGCCGTGATCATTTCATGGCTAGCCTCGAAATTGGAAGCAAAGCCCCCTGAGGGTCCCTATGCTGGGCTGCTATCATGTGTTTGGAGTGCAGACCACCTGTCGCGCACCATTACAGAAGGGGGGGGGTTCTCAGTGTCGAGGAGAAGGCCAACATCGAAGCTGTTGGTTTGGCATTTCTATCAACGTATTCCAATCTTGCCCGCGCAGCATTTCTCAACTCTGAAAAGCTGTTCAAACTTCGCCCGAAAATACACCATGTACATCACACTATCACTGAAGCCGCAATCGACGGCACGGGGCGAAACTACGGATGGGATGCTTGCTGGTACGATGAAGACTGGGTGAAGTATTGCATGAAGGTCTACCGTCGTGTAAGTGTGCAAACAGCTCAAAAGAATCTGTTACTACGCAACCTTGTACAAATCAAAGAAGCCCTCGACAAAGCTGTCCTAAATATGGACAGCTGAGCACACGGCATTCGCAATCGGCATGCAGAGAGCTCCGCCATGGGCCGTCGAAAGTTTCAGGGTCGAGGCGGGCTTATAAGGTCAGGGTTTAGGGCATATAGGTTTTAGGGGAGGTGGGGTTTAGGGTTTAAGTGTCGAGTGGTTTGGGGAGTCGGGGGTCAATAGTGCTTAGGGTTATAGTTTATAGACTTTACGGGACTAGCTTGTTTCGTGTTTTGTTTGGAAGATTCAGTGTCGTTAGAGGAATCAGATAGTTTGTTTTAGGGGTGGGGGAGGTATAGGGTTTATTGTCCAGGTGTGTTGAGGAATGCAGGGTCGAGGGGTTCAGGGCTTAAGGGTCCAGGGTTCGTACGGTTGGAGGGGCCAGCTTTCAGTTAAGTTCTGGTTTGCCTTTTGATTATGAAGCCCAAACAAATCAAAGCACCCTGTTCCACAACTTTCAATCTTGAACTACGCACCCTAAACCCAAAACCCAATTCGAGCCCAGGCCGAAGCACCATACCTGCATCCGCATTCGAAAGCCAAGCTTGCACTCAACATAATCCATCCTGTAAAATCCCAGGCCCAAACCCAAACCTCGAGTCTGTAGAAGTCTAGTACCAAAAGCGCCTGAATGCCGGCAACGCCAAATACGAAACCCCGTTTATGGACCATAACTATCTATCTGCATATATATATATATATATATATATATACACTCATATATAGTGTGCCTATATATTTTGATGTAACATCATGTTATATGATATGTATATACACATCATGTATGTATGTATGTATGTATGTATGTATATATATGTATATATACATATATGATATATGACATAGCTATATATACACACTGTATATATCGTATGTATATGTGTATATATATATATATATATATATATATGTGTGTGTGTGTGTTTTGTTTTTTGGCACCATATTTGGCTCAAACTGGTGACTGCACCAGAATCATTGGAAATTACAGCACGGGATCTGGAAGTTACCCTTCACACCTTCAATGCTTTTCGTGACACATGGCTTTTGCCATGCTATCAGATCAGGTCGTTTGCCTGCACAGTGTTATATATCTTCATGATCATTGGTAGCTGGAGTGCTGTTTTTCTTGATGTGTCTGCTCATGACGACACATCTCCTTCAAGCATATATCAAAGCCATGAATGGGAACGACCCATGGTTTTGAGTAAATGTCTCTTAAAATCAAGATAGTCAATATTTGACGTGCTTTTGGAAGTGGAAGCCACTTTTGAAGGGCATTACGTCCTCAAGGGAGTCGAGCGTGGGGAGATGGGCGAGCCACCGTGGTGATTGGAGTGATCATGTGGACACCTCAGCTGGCTACGGGAGACGCAGCAGCTGGGAGACGACTACCGCGAACTCCTCTGGCGATGGCTGGACGAGAAGACTACGTGAAGAGGACCCGTGGGTGAGCGGAGGCGACCCGTGGCAGCGTGAAACTAGAAAGTTCTGGGGTCACGGAGGGTGAGACGGCCATGAGCGAGGGGATCGAGGGCGTGATTCAGGAGGCTTTCGAGGCGGTCCCTGGGCAGATGGTCGAGACCTAGGACCGGGCGGCGACGATTCTGCCCACCATCCAGGTTTGTTCTGGGATGATAGCCGGGATCAGCTATATCAAGGGCGTGATTCGGGAGGCTTCAAGGTGGTCCCTGCACAGATGGTAGAGACCGCTTCCAAGGCTTACGCGATTCTGGACACCATGGTCGCTGGTACGATGGCTCCGGCCCTGGATCAGAACCAGGCTCCTGGCAAGATGCCCGAAGCTACGATACGCACACGGACTGGGGTGCACAAGGCGGACAAGGTGGCTGGCGTGACTTCGATGATGGCTACAAGGGGTTACGACCAAGTGAAAAGATGACAGTCCCCACCTTCTCTCGGCCGAGGACAACGACGACCTCGGCAACTCAGCGCGCTCTTACCTGAGGCAGATTGAGGTCTGGAAGCGCATCACCAGAGCCCCGGTGACCCAGCTCGGCTTGGTCCTCTACCAGAACCTCAGTGGCAAGGCATGGATTGCTGCAGAGGAGCTTTCGGTTTCCAAGTTGAGTACTTCGGAAGGGCTCGGGTACTTTACGTCTTGGGTGTCGGCGAGATTCCTGGACTTGGAAGTTGCTCGGATAGGACGTGCCTTTTCAGACTTCTTCAGAAAACTCCGTCGCAAGCCCTCGCAAACCATCAGGGAGTACAACACCGAGTACGACAGACTGCATGGAAGGTTGCGAGAGGTCGGGTGCTCTCTTCCTGAGGAGTGTGCGGCGTGGTTGTACCTGGACCGCTTGCAGCTCGAAGAGTCTCAGGAGCTGAACCTCTTAGCGAGCGTTGGAAACAGGTACAGTCTTCATCACCTACAGCACGCTGCAGTACTTCATGACCGAGGCCAGCGCAAGCCCTGGGAAGGAGCAGCAGGAAAGGGGCGAAGGACAAACTACGCCCACATGACAAACCACGACTCCAGCGATGAAGACGAGGACGGCGAGGACTACGAGAACGGGATCCCGGAGGAAGTCGCGGAGGCACTGATGACCTACCAGTCGGCGAAGGAGAAGTACCGTGCACAACAGCGCTCCCGAGGCACCGTCGACGGCAACAAGAACGGGAAGGACGAGACTGGCGGGGGCGATGGCCGCCCCAGCGCGGGGGATCGGGACTCCAAGCTCAGGGCTATGAAAGCCCGCTCGTTCTGCGGAGGTTGCGGCAGAAAAGGGCACTGGCACAAGGACGATGCCTGTCCCCTGGACCGGAATGGAGGTGCCAAAGCCGACGCCCCAAAGAACGTGGCCATGACGAATGCGATGCCCGCCGACGTCTACGCGCTGAAGCACGTCTCCGACAACCTCATGGGCGTGGCCGATACCGCGTGCGCCCGCACGGTGGCGGGGACGCAGTGGCTCCAGTCCTACACCAACATCCTCGCCGAGATTGGGGAGAAGCCGCTGCTGAAGAAGGAGTGCGAGGCCTATAGGTTCGGCACCGGGAGAGTTCACTACTCTTCCTTTTATGTCATCGTGGGCTTCAGGCTTGGTGGCTACAACATCCACTTGAGGACTTCGATCATCACCGGGGAAATCCCGTTGCTCCTCAGCAAGATGGTGCTTGGGAAGCTGGGCATGATTTACGATGTTCAGCAGGGCAAGGCTGATTTCCGGGCCATAGGACTTCGTGACTACGAGCTTGCCTCCACGGCTTCAGGTCATCCGGCCATTCCGATTTGCCCGGTCGGTTTGTCTGCAGGCGAAACGCCGGATCTACAGGTTGAAGACTTGCGACTGCAGCAGATCGGGCAATACACGGAGGTTTATGCTGTAGCTCATTGTGGACCCCAGCCCCCAACGTATTCCGGCATCTTCTATGAGAAGAAACTTGACCCTGGAACCCGTGACATGTTGAGTGGTGATCGCTTACCCCTTGCAGTGTTCCATTCGTGGTGGGAGAAGTCGTGTATCGATCGAGATTTTTGGTTTGAGACACCGTCTACCTGGGTGAGAGTGCACATGGTACCACGAAGGGCCACTTTTAATCCTTCTACTTGGCGTACGGGTTCTACTGTGCTCAGGGACATGTTGGTTGCAAACATCGGTGCCACCCGCATGACTGAGAGTGTGCACTGCAGAACCGGGAAGTGGATAGAGTCGACCGTAGATCAGTGGACGCCAGGCCAAGTTGATCAACATGTGTTTCCGCTGCTCTGGGTCGGCAGGACTGTGTTCTACAAGTTGCCATCCCCCGACCCTTCTCGCTGCAGCCCCTGCGGTACCGATGGAAGCTCAGCCATGCTCAGAGAAGAGTGTGCCGTTGAGCAAGATGACAAAAGCCCAGTTGATCTCAGAGGCGATCAGACTGGGCGCCACGGTGCACCACACATGGTCCGTCCAAGAGCACGATCCGGGAGCACATCGACACCTTCGCGGAGAAGACGGCGAGCCAGCGGATGCGAGGACTGAGCTCGATGACGATGCCCGAGCTGACCAACAAGGCGATCGAGATGGGAGTGCTTGTACTCGAGAAGATCACGAAGGGTGCGCTGTTGAAGCTGATCCGCAGCACGGTCAGCAGCCCCGGGGACACCATCATGACGATCGGCCGGTGGAAAGGGAGTCTGTACACGGAGATCCTGGACTCCTACGGCAGCTGGGCGGCGGCAGAGGTGGCGAGGTCTACGAACAGCTCGCCGGAACTCGTGATGTGTGCGAGGTGGTGGAGCGAGCAGCAGAAGAACAAGGCGGGCCGCGCGAAGATTCCGGTGGAGGACGAGGACTACGAAGGCACGGTCAGTTCCCACAGGAGTCCGACCCCAACGGGAACTTCGTGGGAGGAGATTTCATTCAGTCACCCCCTCCAAAAGGTTCCGCCAACCGAGTGGGAAAGGGAACACGAAGGCGACCCCAAAGCGGATGAGTCCCGAGCTGCAGGAGAAGACGGAAGGGAAGATGGACTCGCAGGCGGACGCAGCGGTGCTACCGGAGATCGCGGACCTGGAGACGAAGTTGGCGATCTTGAAGGACAAGGCCAAGGCCCGGGGATCGAGCGAGTGATTGGCGACTGCAAAGAAGGTGGACGTCAAGGAGGGCATTCGCGTCTCCTAGGGCATCATGTTCAGTGCTGTGGGATGGTTTGTGATGATGAAATTATATCCGAGTCTGAGTATGTGAGAGCTATGCCACTGGCGTCGACCAGGCGGACCATGAGGTCTATACGACACGGCACCACGAGCACCACGATCAAACTCAACGGCGAGTACGTTTTTTAAGTCCTGGCGATGGTCCGGAAGGCCGACTTCGTGACGATAACGGCCCTCCTCGACATGTACGCTATGGTGACGACTCCTACAAGTGGGGAGACTTCTCCTTCGAGAACTGCCAACGCATCCTGGAGGACCTTGTCTTTGGCCGCGGAAAGCCGACCATGCGGGCGGTACAATTCGCTGAAGAGGACGGGGCCAACTACGACTGCGTGACCTACGGCTTGTTCACCCACGGTGGAGTTCATGGGTTGACGAGAGCTACCAAAGACGATGATGCATTGGTCAGGTTCCTCAACCACTTTGGCCGGGAACACCTTGGAGGCGAAGCTAAGTGGACGTCGATCTCGGTGACCAAGGACGTGGCCATCGGGATTCACAAGGACTCCAACAACCTCCGCGGCTCCCTCAACTACTGCGCGACGGTCGGGCAACAAAGTGGAGGTGATCTGTGGCTGGAAGCCGATATCGATGAGGCCCAAGCTCAAGGAGGAGATGTTGCGTGGAAAAGAGACAAAGGTGGATGGTTACCTGGTCGCTACCACCGCACGAAGGAGACGTTCTTTGCCTTCGACCCCTTCAAGAAGCACTGCTCCACTACGTGGGAAGGAACACGATGGTGTATAACTCATCACACCGTGAGGGGGATCACCGAGGTCGGCAGCGAGATCAAGAAGTTCCTCCGCGCAGCCGGGTTTCCGGTCGCTCACCACAAGAACTACAAGAAGGAGTCTGCGAGCAAACCCCCGCCCAAGAAGAGCATCAGGAACAACATCATGAATTCTGCCGGGAAGTTGAGTGTTCTCATGGCAACTCTGTTGGCCGCCACTGGGACCTACCTCAACGAGATGATTGGGCCACCCGCCGACTACGACCCCATCGTGATGATGGAACTCGGCGGGTATATGAGGGCACGAGCGAGGCGGTGGAGCTTGGGAAGGCCGTGATCGAGCCACTGATGTGGCCCGATTTACTCGACCCCAAGACGCAAGAGAACGCCTACTACTTTGTCACCGGAGCAAGCCCCGGGGAACTACGGATCCACCTCGACGAGATGCCGGGTGGTCTTGAAGCCTTCGTTAAGGGGCTAATCGGAGACCAAATTCGCGAAGGAGGAGAAGTTGTGCTACGAGGAAGCCGGGCACATGAGTTGGCGGAGGGGCACGAGAGCTACCTAAAGCACAAGACCACCGACAACGAGGACGCATGGGTCATCCTTGGGAAGTCCAAGGACGGAGGCCACACCACCGGGGAAGGACCGAGGCGTCATGATGTGTGTGTAGCTGGGGCTGAAGATAGTCGGGAGGAGAGAGCGCCACGTTTAGATGGGAGCGGCATCAGAATCTCGGACACCCTAGAAGCGAGGACCTATGCCGTCACTTACGACTAGCAGGGTGTGAACCACATGTCGTCAAGGCTGTGAAAGGGATGCGTTGTGAGACTTGCGAGGCTACCAAGCACGCGCAGATCGCGCGACCTACGGCTTTGCCCAGGCTGCTGAACTTCAACTCTTGCGTTGGTGTCGACATCTTCTACTGCCACGACGTCAACGACGTGAGGCACGCTTTCCTTGCCATTGTCGACTGGGCCACAACGACCACTGGCTTGGAGTGTTCGGCCCACCTTCTACGGTTTCGCTCTCGACTTGGATGGCAAGGTACAGGCCGGCCTTGCGCGACTTTGCGATTGGCACAGCATCAAGGTGAAGGATGTTGCAGCGCAAGCAAAGTGGCAGGGCGGAGTGACTGAGAGACAGATCGGATGGTTTAAGGGGATCTGGGAGCGCGTTGTCCATGAGCTGAGTGTCGGAAGTGAGGCTGCCTTGGCTGCTTCTATGGTGTGTGCAGCCAAGAACGATTTGAGGAGGAGATGTGGCCACAGTCCCAGTCAATGGGTGCTTGGCAGATCGCCGCGGGTCCCCGAGGATTTGTGCGATCCCGACTCCGGTGAGGCGGCGACCTGGGATCTCACCAAGGACTCCAAGTTCCAGCGGGCCACGGCTATGAGAACGAGTGCGAGGATCGCTTTTCATCAAGCGCAAGGAGACGACCGTCTACGACGAGGCCTACTACACCGAGCGAGGACCACCAAGGCAGTCTACGAGATCGGCGACTCAGTGCACTACTGGAACCAGCCTAGGGACAGACGGAGGCCACACTGGGCAGGACCGGCGGTTATTGTCGGGAAACAAGGGGGAAGCTACTGGGTCTCAAGAGGTGGGCGTTGCAGACTGACGGTCCCCGAACACCTCAGGTGTTCTGGACCAGAAGAAGTCGGCGAGTACCTCACCATGAAGAATGTTCAAAGTGAGGTGACAAAGCTGTTGGCCATGGATATCGACGACCCGAACACCTACGCCGAGGAAACCATCAACGAGGACTACAGAGAGTCCATCAAGCGGAAGGGTGATGAAGGTGATCACCTCTCCGACTACGAGTACTCCGACTACGAGGGCGACGAGGTGATCCTTGACCCGGAGGGCGACCACGAGATGCCTGATGAACACCAGGCTATTGAACCCGTTCTTCTGAGTGCGTAAGAAAGGGAAACCACCGAACCCCGAAGATGCAGATGAAGTCCTGCTTACCAACAAGCCACTGACAAAGAGGGGGCACGCAAAGTGCCAAGAAAAGGAGCTGAAGTGGGAAGAGATTCCCGACCACGCCAAGAACCTTTTCAAGGAAGCCGAGAAGGTCCAGTGGGAAGAGCACCTCTCCTACGACGCCTTTTTGAGCCACTAGACTTAGAGCAGTCCAACATGGTCAGGCAGACGGTCGCTCCGGACCGTATCCTACCCTGTCGAGATGGGTGTATCGTGACAAGAATTGGGCTGCTCGGCAGGCCACCTCTGCGACTGGCGAACAGCCAGCGTGGAGATTAAGAGCAGATTGGTGATCGGGGGTCATCGCGACCCTGACCTTGGCGTGGAACCTCTGTCTACGGATGCTCCCACGTTGTCAAGACCGGGCTTCCTGTGTCTGATGCAGCTACTGGCGAATGGGTTGGAAGCTGAAGATAAATGGATGGTTGCAGCGGGTGACATTCAGTGTGCCTTCCTTACGGGCGGCTACTTGGCACGTGGGGAGGATTTGTTCCTCCATCAGCCCCGCACGGGCTTTCCGGGTCTTTTGCCCGGGCAACTGGTGAGGATCAAGAAGAACATCTTCGGTCTGGCCACTTCACCCCACGAGTGGTGGATGGATCTGCAGGACGGCATGGGCAAGGCCAGAGTCAGCTGCCATGGAAAAGAGTACGCGTTTGAGCAGTGCGCGCTGGATCCATGCATCTTTGTCCTGCGAGAGTACTGCCAAGGGAAGTTCAGCGGAAGGCCAATCGGCTACGTTGGGAGCCACGTGGACGACTTGCTCATCGTGGCGGGTCGCAAAGTGAACAAGCTGATTCAAGAGGCCTTGTCACGGGCCTTTCCCATTGAAAAATGGGAGGAGAACCACCTCGACTACATCTGGAGCGAGATCATCTGTGGGGATGACGAGGTGATTGTCACGCAGCGAAAGTACGCAGAGACTCGCTTGTTTGACCAAAGGGAGTCAGCGAAGAGGACCTTGCGGGCCCCGACCTGATTGCGGACAATCAGTCCCTTATTGGGGCACTCTCGTGGCTTTCGGCCCAGACACGGCCGGACCTGACATGCAGTGTTAGCTTGGCACAGCAGTTGCAGAAAGCCCCGACGATCGCCGATGTCAAGTTTTGCAACCTTATCTCGGCTCGGGCGGTTCTCTACAAGGACGAAGGCCTACGGTTTCGCCCGATCCCGGACGAGTGCTTTGGAGTCATCGTCTACCACGACGCCGCCTGGGCGAACGCCGTCTTGGAGGACGAGGCCGACGACTACTTCAAGTTGACCCCCGAAGACCACGAGGCGGGCCTACAGAAAGAGGCCAACCGCGAGAGAAAGGCCAAGAGGATGAATTCAAAGGTGGCATCACAAGTCGGCGCGCTTATTGTGTTCGCCGACATGGGCTGTGTGAAGGGTGGCGCCGGCAACTTCTCCATTGGAGATTGGAGATCGCGAGCAGGCCAACGGGTCTGCAGATCAACTTTCGGGGCCGAGACACAGGCCTAGAGGGAGGGCAATACATGCGATCCTTCATTGAGACTTTGAAGGAGGGCGCTCTTGTGCGCGTCGAGCACGCGCGAGCACCCATCCTATGCCCTCTTCGACCACATCCACAAGCAGGGCATCCCACGGGTCCCGACAGACCGACGACTCGCCATAGACCTTGCTGCCCTACGACAAGGTCTGAGAAGTGAGCGGTGGAGCGACAAGCTGCCGCTGGGATGGGTGCCGAGTAACCTACAACACGGCGATGTACTCACCAAGCCCACCGATCCGAAGGGTTGGTGGGAAGTGCAACATGGGCGACTTTCGGCGCCCATCGATTTGTCAGACGGTAGCAAAGTCAACAACAATTTTGATGGAAAGAGAACCAGTGTGGAGCACAAAGTGTGTATTGATCAGTCTTGCAACAGTCGTATGAGCCCTTGTGATAATCGTCATTGATTTGTACTGCTCCATACTCGGGACTCCCCAGCTTTGCGCAGGTCAGACGTGTACAACCAACTCGACCCGCAGGCACAGTGGATCATCAGGAAAAGGCGGGGCCCTCTGTACATGTTGCCTGCCTACTTCTGGCTAATAATTTAGGGTTAGGGGCTTTTAATTTTGTCGGGATAGCCATGGCAGGCACCGGCCTAGTCCTGCTCATCTTCGTTGGACACCACATCCTCATCATCATCATCTTCAGCTGCTTGGCCTTCGGACATCGTCTCTGGTGTGTCCTTCTTCTTCCCCCTTGCTGCGGACTTTCCTTTGGCTTTCGCCTTTCCCTTAGCTTTGGCCTTCGCTTTGGCCTCGCCTTTGTTTTTTTCTTCGCTGTGCGTCCATCCGGCCTGGGCTGTTGAACTCGATCTGGATGAATGCACAAACTCCCTTAGTCTCTCTCTCTCTCTCTCTCTCTCTCTCTCTCTCTCTCTCTCTCTCTGTCTCTCACACTCGTAAATAGGTTTAAGGATTAGGGCTCTCTCTCTCTCTCTCTCTCTCTCTCTCTCTCTCTCTCTCTCTCTCTCTCTCTCTCTCTCCCCTCCTCTCTCTCTCACTCTGCCTCTGTGCGTGTCCGTCTGTGTCTCTCTCTTGGCCAAGATGCCCTGCTGCCTCTGCTTTCTTGCGACTGTCGAACGTCTGACCTTTTGCATTTGTGTAGCAGACGTACAAACTGCCCTGTTGGGCTCCTTTCTTCCTCTCCCGCAGCTCCTTGTACCACCCATCTGCAAGTACCACCCATCTGCAAGGGGTGTCGTTGAGACCGCTTGCGACGGGGCTTTCCTGTCAGGGGTTCGGGGGCTTCAGCCATAGAGCTTCGGGTGCTTCAGCAACACATCGGGCTACATCATTGAATCCCACCTCTTCGATCCCTGCTCCGCTCGTAGCAGTGCCAATTGCTCGGCGGGTGTGATCGGGCTGTCGCCACTCTCTTGGAGGGCTGCCTTCCTCGGGTGAAATGTAACCGTTTAACCGGGATACTGACATATACAAGTGGCCACAATCCTCATCCTCGTTCTTCCGCACCGCAAACAATCCTCCAAGGAGAAGCCGGCCGTCTCGGCATCGAGGCAGGTCCTGCTCGGGAACAAAGGTGATCATCTTGGCAGCCAGCAGCCGGCGCAACAAAGGTGTTTCCTCCTGCTCCGTGACCCGATGGCAAGCAACTAAAGTAACTACTTCCTCACCCCAGAGCGCCTCAGGTAAACGCAGCTCCGGCAGGCTATCCACCACCTCGGCCCGTGGCTTCTCCAAGACTTCTCGCGGATCCACCTGACCCGCCTCCTCTGGTATCGCCACACGTTCGGCTACAACCGGAAGAGCAGACGAAAGCTTATATAAGACAACCCACTTTCACAACACCGCTGTAGCATGCACCTGTACCGGAGGCAACAAGGTGCTCCAAGTCCTCTCGCTTGCCCTCACAACTTAGTGCTCCAGACAACATCCCAGGACTAAAGAAATTAACCACCTCGCCAAGCAGCTTATCGGCATACGGACGGATGCTCTCCACACTTCTGCGGGCTGCTCGCGGCTCGTAGGCACTCCCAGCACCATCGGGACAGCCCATCACCACAAAGTTGCTCCAAGCCACCAGCGCATTGACGGCGACCCGGCACCACTGAGCAGCATCAAGCGGCCCTTTGGTACCCGACCTAAGGCACACCACCTCAGGGTAGGGAAGAGCACTCGGGAAAAGTGGCGGGTCGGTACCGGACCCTTCCAGTAGAGAACCTTGGGCACGTTCCAGCCACGCGAAGTACTCCTTTTTCTAGTTGAATTCCGGCCAGGGAGAGAGAAGGATCCACTGAATGGAGAACCCCTCAACCGCATGCAATTCCAGGTCAAGGTTCACTTTCGGTGGCTCTTGCCACCCTCTTCTTCCACCTCGTCGCCATGGCTGGCCTGACCGGCTTGTTCAGCTTGCTGAGAGCTTCGAGGTAGCCGCTCACCACTGCCATCTCCTCCTTGCTCCCCGCAAACTCGCGACGGCTGAGAGGATCGGCCAACCCCGTCAGGAGCCAAGCCGCCTCCCAGTCGCCACCGGACATCACAGCCTGGAGCTCCCCCTTCATATTCTGAGCAAGCTGGGCGATGGCACTTTCCGTCTCGCCTGAGCGCAACATCTCGTAAGCAGCAGCGTCCATAACGGCGCAACGAAATATGCCCTTGAACTTTTCCCAGGATTGCTTCTTGAGGTAATCCCGAATCGTCCAAGCCTGCCCCGCCACAATGCCCATGTCCTCCACAATCTCGCGCTCGAACTCGTGGTAGATCTTGGAAGGCCGGCTCCTGATGCGGGCATGCAGCTTGCTGAGGGAGACCACGGCCTTAATCCCAGATTTGCTGAAGTCGGCTTCGTCGCTTTCGCTGTCTGAAGAGAAACCACCATGGAGTGTGCTGCCCTTGGCCTTTGACCCTTTGTCCTTCTTCAAAACCATCGCTAGCACGGCTAAAGGCAAAATCTCCGAAGCGCTTTGCCCCTTTGACAAACCACTGGCCAGCAACTCCTGCACATCGATCTCGCTCTTCTTCTTCTTCTTCTTCTTCTTCACTTCCTCTACCTTGCGCCCTTTCCCCGGGGTACCGGGGGCTAGCACTTTGCTGCTGCTGGCTGCAGCAGCCTGGGTCGCTTGACCGATGTCGTCCTCCTCGTCGCTCTCGCTGTCGTCGCCGTCGGACTTGTCTCGAAGCTCCTGGCCTAACCCCTTCTTCACTGCTTTTCTCTCGGCCTTGGAAGCAGAGCTTCTGCCTCGCTGCTGGCCAGATCCTGGCTCCCCGCTGCTCTCCAGCGGGCCCTGCTCGTGACCCAGGACGGGAGCTCGTGAGGATGATTGCCCTTCCATGTGGTAGGCTGGCTGGTCGTTGCACTAGCCTGTGGAATCTTAACAAAGCGAAGTTTCTCAGCTCCCGCGACACCTTCAATGGATCCCGGAATCTTCGAAGTCGCCAAAGTCACAGAAGTTCCCACGATCACTTCGTCATTCACCATCTCGACTACCCAACCACAAATAATAGGGCAAACTTCTCCCTGGTCCCCATTAAGGATCACGTAAACAAGTTCAGCGCCAGACAGTGCCATGGCTGGGACCCTAAAACTTGAAAAGACTTGAGACTGAGGAGCCGACGGCCGTCCTGCATGTCATGCTGCCAGCTCCAACCTGACACACCGGAACACGTTGTCGGGAATCCTGTTTGCCAATTGCCGCGCTAGAGTTGCTAGCGACCCTCGTCGGGATACGTCTCTGGGTCCCGGAGGGCGAGGATAGACAAACCTCGCGAGTTGCCATTAGGGGGTACTCGGATAACAAATCCGACGAGTCCCTCTTGAAGATGGCTATGACGACAAAGTATCCTTCCATGCTAGTGTTAATGGAGACGGCCGAAGAGCTATCCCACCAGAACTGTGAGTTACAGCTGCAGTGGATACGGAGAGATCTCAATCAGCTAGCAGACGACCTCACCAACGAAGAGTTCAATTTTTTTGACCCCGGCTCGAAAATAGCCCTCAAGAGGGAGGAAAACTCCGTTGTTCGAGAGGCGCGACGAGTCGTCTATGCATGGGATGGCTCTGTTCCTCTTGGGTACTCGAAAGGCTACAAGCTTTGGTTAGCTTGTGGCATTGGCTTCTTGACCCAAAGTTGCGTTGGCGGAATATAAGATACAGTGCTGCTCCATGGTTCGACGAGCGATCCCATGGGCGAGCACGTAGAGTCAAAGTACGCAAAACGTGACCTTGCTCTCCACTGTACAAGTTACTGCTCACAGCTCTTCTAATAGCGACACCATAGAACTGGACTAGGCATCGAGGCCCGTTCGCAGCAGTAACAGTCACGATAGTTCAGTTGTAACAGAGCGATCGTCGCAGCGATAGTGGTGCATAGCGACAGTAACTCAGTAATGGCAGTAGTAACAGTGATTGAACTGCTCAGAAATAACAACTTTAAAGTGCTTTTCGCAAAACCTGCAGAAATAGTAATCTCTGATTCTATCAAAATGGCACACGGGTAGCCAGGGGTGGAAGCCTAAACCAACACTAAGAACCACACTCCACAAGGGAAGGGTGGAGCGGCAACGACACAGCGATAGTGGTGCATAGCGACAATAACTCAGTAATGGCAGTAATTGAACTGCTCAGAAATAACAACTTTAAAGTGCTTTTCGCAAAACCTGCAGAAATAGTAATCTCTGATTCTATCAAAATGGCACACGGGTAGCCAGGGGTGGAAGCCTAAACCAACACTAAGAACCACACTCCACAAGGGAAGGGTGGAGCGGCAACGACACAAAACCCAGTTGAGCACGCACTGTACCACAGCAGCGGAGGCGCAAGCCCAAAGGAAAGCGAGCCAGGCGTGCGAAGCACCCGGGTACCCGGGGTCCGCCTAAACTCACACCAAAACCCGCTCGCTGGGTGAGGAAGGCAAAGGTGGCGCACAAAGGATGCAGGCAGCATCCGCCAAGCACTAGACAGACCAGCTAGCCTCAGACCTGCGGGACCTCGAACCTGGGATCTGGCCCCACAGGCTGTTCGCAAGACTCTTCCTCAAAGCAATGCTTCTCAGGTGCCCGGAAAGGCGTTCAGCAGCAGTCGTCGCGATTCGAACAGATCGGATTTCCCAGAAAAAAACCGCCTCGTCAGCTTGAGCACGCCGTTTTGCCCGGAGTGCTCCGTGCAGTCTCCTTTCCATACACCGTCTGGCGACCGTATCGGTTGATTGATGAGGAGGATTGGGTCAGCGGCTAGCAAAATGACTGGGAGGGGTCGATTCGGGGATCCATTGGACCAAAGTAACGATCGGTTAGCTACTCATCTTACCAAACTGCCCAACGTGGTAGCAATAAGTGGAATGAGCGCGAGGACGCTCTGATGGGTCAGAGACATGACTGCTGCACCGCATCGGAACGGAGGAATGGAGCCATGTAAATGCGAGGGAAAGCAACATCACGGCACAACTGTCAGGACATATGTATGCTGTATGCTCCAAGGTCATCCTAATCTCACCTAGACTTAGCAAGTTCTTCTCGGGGCGGCCGACAGGCCAACAGACCCCAAAGCATTAGGTGGTTGGCAAGACCACGCGAAAATCGCGCAGCAGTAGTTGGAGATGGTGACTGTTAGGCATTGTCATTATTATCCTTAATTAGCATGTACTACGATAACACACTCCAAAAAGCAGAAACATTCAATATACTCCAAAGCCTTCTTCAAGTGATGTTGCAGTCGCAAGCTTCGTACCGTGGCAGTTCTTGGAATTGAGAAGCTTAGCGAGCGCAACTGCTCGGAAACTTTTCCACATCATTAGCCGACGTTCCACGCGTCTCTCTAGGAAGTGAAACTCCCGTGTGCCGACAGCCAGCGTCATTGAAATCTTCGCGTCGTAGGGATGAGTCTAAATGGAAGCTTGTGCGTTGTGATGGATTGAGCCTCAGGCCTCAATACCCGTCATCATCCAAGGGTTCCTTGAGCATTGAGAGTCGCAGTCGTGAGCTTTGCTGCAGCTTCTGAGAGCCGCTCTTGGAGTCGCAGTGAAGTTGCCATGTGATGCTGCACCGAGGCCTTCTCTCACCGGACTCGTTGTCGACTCGTCTTTTCTGCTTCTGAGACAACACTAACACGTTGCAGAACAGGCCTTCATTCCGCCGCAAGTTCGCTCGATCTCGCTGTGAGCCTTGCAGGGCCCACAGCGGGCGCAAGTGCGGGAAAAGTGCGGAAGATGAGCTTGAGCCGATGAGCCCGCCGAGCCTCGTCCGCAAGCTCCGTATGTTGGCGAAGATTGTGCTGAACCTTGCGAAGCGTTGCGAAGCGCATTTCTCCCGGCCTCGGGCCCCTCGGGCATCGGCTAGCTCCAGCTCTTTCTCCAATCGCTGTCGCTCGCCGCTGACCTGTCCGCTTCAAAATCCCGTCGCCTGATCCCAGCACTATCGCAAACACAAGTGGATTGTGGATGGACTGTCAACAGGTATGCGACCTTGCACAAGGGCTATAGGGACTAGCGGGCAGCGTCATTTCGATCTCCGCTGCGAGGCCGGTGAGCAGCAGCATAGCGGTTCGCCCGTCGAGCCAGCGGCCATCAAAACCTCCCGTGGAGGCAACAGCTGGCAGCTCCTTCGTGCGAGTCGGCGACTGATCCTGCAAAGCCGAGACTGGCTCGAAGCTCCGTCGTGTCCTCGCGGCGGACGGGACGCTCTCCGTTACACATGAAGGCAGGGCAGTGCAGGCGGTGCGCCTTCTTTGACGTGACAAGCACGCCCAGGACGACGCGCAAGACGCCGCCCCGCCGTGGAAAAATCTCCTCCACATGTGAGGTCGGAAGTCGCCCATTATCGCAAGAGTGCGGCAGGAAGCTCCGAAGAGTCGAGTGGACCAGGACGCAGCAAAGCGGGCACGGGCAGCAGCAATGCGCCACGTGCGGCCGTTGCACAAACCGTCATTTTGGCCATTTCCGCTGGTGGCATTGCCTGCGTGGAAGTGTGCAGACTGTCGAGGATCCGCATGCCTTATTCGCACCCTTTTCCTGACCAGGTCGTATCTCATCCCTGCGTTCGTAGCAAACGGGGCCTTGGCTCACAGCACACCGCATGCAACAGTCTTCGGGCGATCTTCGCAGAAAAAGGATTGCACCTCCATCGTGCTCCTGCATGCTGACAGCAAGTCCCCCCCTCTCTCTCTCTCTCTCTCTCTCTCTCCCTCTTTCGGTCTCGCAGGCTCTGCCCTTCTTCTTCTGCAGACTAGAGGAACGCACGATGTACGCCCGACGTAAGAAGGAACGTCCTCAGGACTCGGCTCTGGGCGGCATCAGCAAACAAGACACGCACTGGTGAACACACTGCAAGCACACTCATGCTCTAAGACCCACAGAGGAGGAGGAGGAGGAGCCTCGTTTGAGTCTTTACAGTACTGGCCCTGAAGGCCCTCTTCCTCTCCACGGGCCCAGGGCGGACTTGCGGACTTGGGCCGGATCCAAAGTCCTCTTCTCTCCTCTCTCCCTCCGTCTCTCCTCGAAAGGTAACGCATGGGCCACAGTCAGGCTCCCGGTCCACAGTCGCCTACGTTCCAAAGCGAGACGGCAAGCTTTACACACCGACACACGTCATCACACATCGCGCCTGCCGTCTTTCCAAAGAGCGACAAGAAAGCACCAGTCCATCGAAATGCACCAGTCACGAGCGCGAGGTGGACACACCTTGGCCAGAAATGAAGAATCCTGCATCTGTTTGGAAAGCTTTGGAGTATCCCTGCGAGCGGTGCTTTTCTACTTCCGTGCACCACATCATGTCAGAGGTGTCAGCTACGTGACTGCCAGGTTTTTCTGCAGCCAGGGCACCAAATGTCGCAACAAATGCTTCTCGGGCAAAGGGTCGTCTTCCAAGTCTCTAGCGACCTCCACTGTGCCTCCCCGAAGTTCGCAGTGCAAGGAGCAGATGTTGTGTTCGAGAAGAAAACGGAGAGGAGTCTATGTCGCCTGGACAAAGCAGAGTCAGCCAGGTCCTCCAAGCGCCTTTACGGATCTTATCGGCTTCCGTCCCTCTCAGAGCTTCTTCGGCGGCACCGAACCTTCCATGGAAATAATGTGGAAAGTAAGCCGTGCTCGACGCTCGTAACACCCACCTTCGAACTGCCTGTGCCCAAACCTCACGAGCTCTAGCTGCTCTAGCTCGCCAAGAAACGGTTCTTGGCTTGCCTTCACTGCTCTTAGGGCGGGTCCGGTGCCACTGCTGCAGCACATGGCAGCGCCGAGGGCCATCCGAAGGAGAGCACACCAAAAACGGCTCTGTCCGACCTGAGAGCGAGCATAGGGCACAGCGTCGTAGACATGCAAAGCCCAAAGCACTTTCCAAGTCTCAAGCCAAAGATTCAAGAGTAACGGGGTCGGCTTCGGCTTTGCTAAGCCTGGCTCAGTCAGTCTCATATCTTTCGCAATCAGCACCCAACCGGTTGCCTCGAGAGCGCTGCTTTCGGGACCTTTTTGAAATACCGAGGAAGGGATCGGCATCCGCTGCTGCCGCCTCCATAGGCCCAGGCTCCGGCGCCTAAGTGTCGCGATCAAAATCTCCGCAGATTATAGTCTTCCGGCGGGCGCCATTCCAGTCAAACTTTCTGCGGAGCTGAGTCTTTCCACCACCGACCTAAACCGCGCCAAGAGGGGATAATCTGCGAGCCTGTGGCGGGGGCGGTGGTGCCGCCACAGCTTTGTCCCGGTTCAAGTCGGCAGCCTGAAACCAAGTGCACGCGTTGTTGCTACACTGAACGAAAGCTTCCATGCCTTGGTACCCATGTTCGAGAAGTGATCATCGGAGCAGCCGGGAGCTTGGCATCCCATTTCCCGCTCGTCCGCCTTTCTCGACGACATGGCATTCAAACTGGCAGAAGCGAGCCACTGAGTTGGGGGGCGCCTCTTTGCTCAGCCGCAAAAACTCTTGTTCCAACGCCGGGCCTGCCGTCGCTACATTGTCTACATCAACCCCAAATCCATGATTTTTGGTAAAATCGCTGGGCAGAGCAGAAGCCCTTCAGGGCGAACCCCGAGTAGGAACCGGAAAGGCGGAGCTGGCGCAACCGTTGGACACGCGTCTGCAGCTGGGGTCGGAGAACGGAGGTTGAAACCTAAACAACTTTGGGCCCACTTGCGCTATCGGAGCCTGCTTTGGTCAGCTCACTGAGGAGCGACATGGTCCCATTCCTCGCTTCCTCAAAGATGTGGGCTTTTGCGTGCTGGCCAAACGCAAACGAGATCTCGCATGTCAAGGAGAAGAGAAGCCGCTTAATTAAACAGACATGGATATCATTGGATATCAGCGTCTATGGGTATGTTCAGTAGGGCCGAATCAAACGTAACCGCGCCGAAAACATACAAAGTAACATACCCAACATGACAATCGCATCATACACCACAATACCGCCTACAGTAACATGACATATCTTGGAAAGTCCAAGATGTCATAACACACTACAGCATGACATAAAACACAGTGCCATGACAAAACCCAATGCAAAATATATTGTAATGTCACTCATCCACATTAGCACAAAATAAAAGAGAACACGAACGGAATAGAATAGACTGACAGGAACAAATTCGTAAATGAGGTTATGAGCGATTAATTTTGCCAGACAGAATCGGTTAGAATAGGCGAGGCAGTACAACAAAGTAGAACAACACCATACAACGCAGGAGAACTCAAATTCACCTCATCTCACGGACCGAAACATCACCTGACAGAACCTCACAGACTGCAATATATGGTTTACGAAAATCACATACGCTTCAATCTACTTGACATCTTCGTACCAGTTCCCGCAGGAGGGCCGCTCACCTTCGCTTTCTTGTTCTCGTCCTTGCTGCTGTCCTTCTTTGTCTTCTTCGAGTTCCCGACCTTTTTCTTGAACTGGTTCACCCAGCTCCGGAAGCCGCCCAAGAACTTCTTCAGATCGGCGGCGGGTTGGCAGGTCGAGACCTCCTTCACAGCCTTGGACACCCGAATGTAGAGTGCATTCCAATGCCGAGCCAGTTCCTCCAGGTCCGTCGGGCCATCCGCCTCCCCATCCTCCTTGATTTTCCTTAGAATCATCACATACCCGCTGTTCAGGGTTTAGGCTTTAAGGTTTCTTTTAGGGTTTTGGGTTTAGGGTTTAGAGTGTCTTAGTTTCAAGGAACACAGGAGTGAAGCCTCCAGCAATAACCAAAGTTTCAATGGAACTCAAAAGGCTGTGCATCGCTGTTGCTCCTGCAGCTGAATTCCTATCACGCACAATCAACACACAAGTCATGAGCATCGGAAAGTCAGGCTGTTCATGTCTACGTGTGTATATACATATGCATGTAAATTATATGCGACGGCATGAACAATAAGGCCTCCCTTGTGAGATCATGCTTGCGACTTGCACAGATTCCCGTGAAAGTTCACTGACTTCCGCCCCCCAGCAGACACGTTAGCTCAATGTCCTGCTGTCATTCGCCCCGGGCAGAGCGAGTTGGCTTTAAGGGGCTGCCCCAGCACGGCAAGACATGATCGGCCCCAGACACGGCCAGAGTCTGCGCGGGGTGGCATTTAAAGAGCCCGTGCCATGCCTCCGCTAGGTAAGGCCAACATATTGACGAAAATCGGAACAAGCAGAGCTATGGTATGCACAAGGCATGTATGAATGTATGCATGTGTGTATGTATCTGTCTACATCTGTGTCCCTGGTGTGTGGTGTGCAAAGAGGCTTGAACACAACACAAAAGGCAATGCTAGGATGGTGACGTGTTGATAAAGATGGTTCTGGTTGTTGGCAAAGGAGAACTCTGAACACGAAGTGACAAAATGCCGACTTCTTTCCGAGACAACTCCAGGATATCCCACTGGAACCTTCAGCAGTGTACTCCTCGAGTGCTTACTGGGTTTTCCGATGGGATCCGTGGAGGATTGCTTTAGGATTGAAGCCGGGACAACCCTCACTAGTCAACTCCCTCGGCTCACGATTGCAACACAAAAAGATCTGTAATGAGCCAAGTGTCTGAAGCTTCTCCATCACCTCCCGCTTCAGCTCGGAGACCAACCGCTCGAAGTCTTGGGTCTTGATCTGCAGCTCGGCTTTGCCGCCAGCATCGGATTCGATGCCGGCTTCTTTGATGTCCGCAACCATGCCGGTGTAGGAATTCCGATGCTTCCGCAACCACGACTCGATCGTGGTGTCCGCTTGAACCATCGACTGCTCGTACTGCAACTTTTCCAGTGTTGCACTGGAAACCTTCGGCTTCTCTTCCTGCGCCGCTTTTCGCCTCGCCTCGGCGATCTCGGCTTCTTCGAAGAGACGGGCCTCCAGCTCCCTGCGGGTTTGTGCCGCCTCCTCCATGTCAGCCACGACATTGAGGAGTTGGCTTTCCTGCCTTGTGTTGTTTGCAGTGTTCACAAGACGGTCGGCCGAAAGGAGGTTCTGTCCTCGCTCGAGCCTGCCAGCAGAGATCTCATGGAATCTCTCCAGGTCTTCCCTTGAAGCAATCCATCCTCTGCTTCACGGAGGTGGACAGCTCGTGCTGCGACCCCAAGCGGTCTTCGCAGCCTGACCACTCCTTCAACAAGAGCTCGCCTCGCACAACCTTCGTGATTGCGCCGGGCTTCGAGGTCTCTGCCTTCCACAACCTGGGCAGCTCTTCGGGCTTTGCTCCTGTCAGCAACGCCTCCCTCGCCGCCCAGTCCTTGAACCGGAACCACCGGTCCACGTCCTGTTGGGTTTCCATCCTCTTCCTCTCTTCCGTTAAAGCTCCTACCGCCGTTTCGAAGGTACGCTTGCGGCTTGTGCCGTTTTCGAGCCTTTGGGCTTTCTGTTTTCTGTACCAGGTAAACTTCTCCTCAGTGCTCATTTTGCTGAGCGACACGGCCACTTTTTCAGCGTTCACTCTTGCTTCTCGTTCCTTTTCCGTTTCCCCCCCCTTCTTGTCCTTAGTTTTGCGGCACCTTTGGAGCCACCGGTCAGTGCCGGAACAATCCCCGCAGACACGCCTTAGGACGTTCCGTCCACTGGCGTGGCTAGTCTCAAGTGCCACCGCATCGTCGCACTTTATGCATCGAAGTTCTGACTCCGTCATGCCTGCCACTAGAAATCTAAGGGACCTGAGAAGTTTCAAGGGGACTCGGTCTCCAAGCCAAGGGGGATGGAGTGAGGAATCCAGGAAAGACCCTTGTTTCGAGGGGACTCGGTCTCCAAGCCAAGCTCTGAAGCTTCGCCAAAGAGTGAGGAATCCAGGAAAGACCCTTGTTTCGAGGGGACTCGGTCTCCAAGCCAAGCTCTGAAGCTTTGCGAAGGAGTGAGGAATCCAGGAAAGACTCTTGTTCCTAGGGCACGGACTCGGTTTCCAAGCCTCGACCAACCAACATGTACTCGAGAATCGCACAAACAGTCTTCGCAAGCATCACCCATGAATATCATCCCCTCTAAGGCATCGCTGTCTGCAAGTTTTCGTGCTGTCCTGTTCCCTCTTAAGCCCTGAGTCTGTGGTGGATTTCCACAAACTAGCATTAGGTTCTGGCAATGCTAATTTCATGCCAATGCATCAGAATTTGAAAATACTTAATTTGCTCAGCTATATTCTCCGAAGCTTTTTGAAAGCTTGAGTTCCAGCATCTGCAACACGGCACAGGGTTGCTACCGGCTACCACCTGCACTTCGCAAAGCCGGGCAAATGTCCCGATAATATCGAGAACCGTACAGGGTGCCAGGTGCTCTGTCGACTTCCAGGACCGCAAGCTCAAAGCAGTGGCCGTCAAGCAAATCTCGCTTGACGAAACCTTTGTACTGTTCCAGATTGTGCTGCTGCTTTGCAGACAGCAAACCGGGATCCGTGTTGCCAATGCCTTGCATCAACAAGGACCTCAAGGTGGGCTTGGGACAGCCTGCCAGCTTCCACGGATCCCGCACGGGTTGCGGGATTATGTTCTCTTTGCAAAAATCTCGGCGAAGTCCACGCAACCACACCCTGGACCTGGAATGGGGGAACACAGCCTGGAGGTCCTGCTGGACATAATCCACAACAAACCACGGAGTGGCCACCGACAAGTATTGCATGACATCCCTTAAGAAAGCAATCTTGGCCAGCAATGATGAATTTTCCACGAGGAAAAACAACAAGGAGCCTTTGTGTGCATAATGCACGATCATGCTGATCACCTGCAAATAAACCAAACTCCTGTCGTCGTATTCACCCCCTCGCTTGCCACTGGGACTCCAAGGCTGACATGGTGGTCCTGCCACCAGCACCTCGACGTCACTCTCAAGATCATTGCAATTTATGAAGTTGATGTCACCAGCTTTGTCCAGATGCATGGACTGGGCACGTGTTCCCAAATGCTTCCTCCAAAAGGCACCTAAAGCTGCATCAAACTCGTAGCAATCCTCGGGGGACCAAACTAATCCGACGCTGCGACATATGGCTTTCCAGGCACTTATTCCAGCACAAGGCTCGCAAACAACCAGCCTCCTGTTCAGTCCAACCAGAGGCCCGACCAAGCCGTGCAAGGCCGAAGCCACAGCAGAGCTCATGGCCGGTGGACGTGGCCCAGCCCAACACTTGCTAGCTCCGGTCTTGAGCACAAACGACCCTGGAACATTTGAGCCATGTCGTCAATATACCCTGCTGACCACATCGTCTCGACCACTCGAGCAGCAAGCCCATATCATCACATATTCTCCCCAGAGGAAGCCAACAAAGCAAAAACCACACATGTCATAGACAGACTTCAGAGTCAGTCTCGAGCAACCCAAGGAGGCCATCATCACATATTCTCCCCAGAGGAAGCCAATATAGCAAAAACCAACTTCACAGCCAGCCTGTAGCAAGCCAGACAGGCCATGCTGGGGCCACTGGGCTTGACCAGCCCAAGCCACGGATTGAGTGGATGGCCAGGCAAGCAGTCGCCGGGTGGCATATCGTCATCGACTTCAGAGTCAGCCTGTTCCAAGCCAAGCAGGAAATGTACCAGTCGCCGGCAGCAAGAAGACTGAAACCAAGAAAACCGGCGGACGCAGAGAAACCTCCGGCACGTCCGGAAGCTTTTCTGGTCCGCCGGTTTTCTTCCCGTGGCTACTACTCCAAGACCGGGCTCCGGCCTGGGAGTAGTAGCCACTGGAGCCATGGCCGGGGCCACCTCTTGCAAAAGGCTGGTGTTGAACTTGATTGCTTCTGGAAAGAAACCAAATCGATCCCTTGCCTAAGAGCCACCGGTCAAGAAATTCCTCAATCTCTCCGCAAATGCCGAAACTGAGCTGCCACGCTGGCTGAAATCACACCATTGGCTTCAGCTTCCGTTCCGAATGAGTCAATGCCTTGCTTCCACGCCAGTGGCAAAGGAATTGCTCAATCCCGCAGCAAACCTCGAAGACTGAGCTGCCATGCTACCAAAACACGCACCATTGGCTCGATAGTCAATTGCGAATGGAGAAAACATGGCTTGGCTGCAAGGTTCGTTGCTTTATCTCCATCTTCATTCCAAAAAAACACAAAAACAAACAAAAAATGCATCGAAACAATAGGAAAAAAAGAAAAATACATAGAACACCTAGGAAACTAAGAAAAATATGGAGAACACAACAAAAAGTAACAAAATTCCACTGCAACAGACAAAATAAGAACCGGGAGGGACGGGAGCAACACGGGAGCAACACGGGAGCAACACGGGAACGACATGGGAACGACATTGGGAGCAACATTTTTGCAACATGTTTATAAGTTTTCTGCAAAAGCTCTAAAAATTATCAAAAACACAAGAGTTATAGCAAAACACAATGGAAACCAGAAACAACACAGGAGCTTCCTGCAAAAGCTGCAAAAAGTATCGAAATCATGCCACAATCTCGATGGACATGAAAACAAACACCGGGAGGGACGGGAGCAACACGGGAGCAACACGGGAACGACAAACACCGGGAGGGACGGGAGCAACACGGGAGCAACACGGGAACGACATGGGAACGACATTTTTGCAACATTTTTTGTAAGTTTTCTGCAAAAACTACGCAAAACAACAACACGACACACAGATGATACAAAAACTCATGAACCAACATCCCTAAACCCTAAACCCTAAAAAACTGCCACATCAACACCAAAACTCAACGATAACCTTAAAAACACCAAGGTTAACACTGTGTGTGCTGTGCTGGAGGACAAGAGGTCGGGAGCGACAGGAGCGACACGGGAACGACATGGGAGCGACATCGGGAGCGACGGGAGCGACACGGGAACGACATGGGAGCGACATCGGGAGCGACGGGAGCGACATGGGAGCGACATCGGGAGCGACATTGGAGCGACATCGGCATCGGGAGCGACGGGAGCGACACTGGAACGACATTGGAGCGACATTTGGGAACGACGAAAACACGAAATCAATGCTAAAATCATATAAAATCTATATAATATACACAAATAATATTAAAATATTATCTATAGTACAAAATATAAATATTTATACAAGATATACAAAATACATATAAATATCATAAATAAACATAAAATATTATATATATAGTACAAGATATAAATATTTATTCAAAATATACAAAATACATATAAATATCATGAAAAATCTGCAAAATATATAAAATATACATATATATATATATATATAATTATAAAATCATATCTCAAAATGCAAAACACTCTCTTTTGCTGCGAAACCCACGGCACGGTTTGCAGCGAAGCCTTTCGGTGGCTCGCGAACCTTCAGAGTCCATCTCGGACTTTCGAATTTGTGGTTTGCTGTGCTGCCAGGAGTCTCGGACTTTCGAACTTGTGGCTTGTTGTGCTGCCAGGAGTCTCGGACTTTCGAATTTGCGGTTTGCAGTGCTGCCAGGAGTCTCGGCCTTTCGAATTTGTGGCTTGAGGTGCTGACAGGAGCCTTGGCGATTTACGCCTGGTGTTCCCTCTCCCTCACCCATCGGGAGGCCGCCTCCAGCAAATCAGCAACTGCACTACTGGACCCCGCTGCCGATGCTGGCCGTGGCGGTGCCTGGCTTGCCGATGGGCCGGGTGAGGTCAATTGAGAGGTCCCACGTCTCGGCTTCTCAGGGCCCGGGGGCGGCTGCCTTCGTGCTTGGCCTTCCAATGCTGCCAGTAGGCATACTCCGTGCCGAACGCCTGGCGGCAGCCCACACATTTGTACGGCTTGGGGGCGGAGGGGCCCTCTTTCAACACGATGCCGCCTTCCCTCTTCTCAGGCGGGCCTTTCTCCTCCTGTTTGCCGCTCTCGCTGCTCAGCTGGAGCTCGGCAAGGCAGCCGGCGGCTTCATCAGCTTTCTGGTTTGCTTCTTGTTGCAATTTCTTTGCATACGCCAAGCACCTTGAAAGCTGGGCCTCCGGAAGCTTGCCTTGCATCTCCTTGCAAGTCAAGGAGTTGTGCATGTGGGGGAGGAAGCCCGGAGGCCCCATTTGGAGCAGGCTTTCTTGCAAACTGGGCATTTTACCCTTTGGTACCAGTCCGACTGGTCCTCCTCCGCTTCCTTCTTCTCCGGCTTCTTCCGCCGACCTGCCGGCTCTGCCGGCTTTCTATCATCCCGAGCCTCCTCCACAGGCGGCCGCCGCACCGGCTCAGAGAGAATGGACCACGGGCTCTTTTTGCTGCCCCTGCTGCCCCTGCTCATCTCGGTGTCCTTGTCCCACCTTCCTGGTGGCCTGTGAGGACCGTGGGTCGGATCAGTCTTAGCCGATGGGACCTCCGGCTTCGATCCCGACTCGTCCGATCCCTGCCGTCCCTGCCCATCCGTTTGCTCCGAGCGTCGGAGTCGGAAGAGCCGCTTGAACCTGCAGGGCACATGTGGGAAAAGTAGACGGGAAACCTTACACACCAAACACGGTACACAACACAAACGGCAATGATGGGAGGACGGCGACGGTGATGAAAATGATTGTGATGTGCAACAGGACCGGCAGGATCCTGGCAGCCAGCCAAGGCAACCGAGCACCCTGGAGCATACTTGCAGGATCCCAGAGGACTGCAACGCTATCCAGAGGCCCTGTGCCTGGCTGCTGATCCAGGACTGCACGGCATCCTTGCCAAAAAAAAGCAGACCGTTCCACGATGATAATATTTATGTTGCTGCTGCTGGCTTGTTCCCGGACCAATGCCTGAGCGGCTTGAGCTTTGGCGGCCGTCAGGCCGGCCAGGTGGCGGCATGAAAATCCTGGCCACACATGCTTGGCTTGAAAAAGTTACCGCTTTTTTTAAGATGTCCTCGAGGAGTTTCCCAGGTTGCCGGGGGCCCACCGGAGCCCACACTGGCTCGGGCCGCAAAAGCTCTGGCTATCAGCTATTGAAACCCCTGCACACAGTCACTCTCAACATGCGACACATGCCTAATGCACAAAGTTCCCAAAAAGAAAATCCTTTTTGCAGAGCAGGAACCAAAAGCATCCGCAGCAAAAAGCTATATTGACTCTCCCCCTCATCCGAACCGTCGCCGGCACTGCTCACATGGAGTTAAGCGATTCCTGGGACCTTGCACATGTCTGCACTCTGGATGGTGGAAGCACTTTCCACGTCCAGACGTGGTGCAGAACACTTCATGCGGCAGTTGTGCCCTTTCCCGAGCACGCACAAGCTCCCTTTGCAGCCGTTCGACCTCCAGATGCAATCGGCGACTCTCAGCCGCCCAATCTCGATGTCGCAGCTGCTCGACCCTATCTGCCCCAGTTCGCACGCTCACCCACTCGGAATCATCCTCATTTTCGCTGCAAGGCTGAGTGTGCTGCTGGCCGTTGGCCAGCAGCCGTCTCAACTTTGAGTTCTCTTTCCAGGCGAAACATAGCAAAACACTCAAAGCGAAAACTGCTGCAACACCGCAGCATCCATCAACTGAAATCGCTAACATGCTGACGGCTGCGAAATACAAACAAAAAGGGTCTGGCATCCCTTTCGCTTTGACTGTCCTATCGCAAGCAACAACCCTGTCACTACGCAACGGTTTTTTTAAATGCTCCGCAGGTGTCGCTCATCTCGTCTTGTGTTGACCGCACACTCACATGCTTCTGACTTGTGTTAACATATGTGTCTGCATGTATGTTCCATATTTCACAAAGTTCGCAGGAACAACATGTGGTGTTGCAGCCGAAAGCTCTAACTAAGCTCTTGCATGACTTGCGGTCCCCCAAAAGGACAATTCCGCCTCCCGACGTGAAAACAAGCCATTCGGTTAACCGCACAGGAGGCACAAAATTCAGTTGAGCCCAAAAGCACTCAGTCGAGATCTTCTTCTTCTAACCGTCGCTTGCTTCCCCGGCTTGGTTGGCTGCTGGGTGCTTCCTCAGATGACGTGGATGCTGTCAGGGGCCGGCTAATGTACTGCCGCCACCACTGCCACCACCATATCCTGGGCACAGGCATCACGCACGAGGTAGTTATTTCTACACGCAGGGTTCAGGGTTTACGGTGTGCTTGCAAGAGGCCACTCTCCGGACTGCGGGCTTTTTGTTTTCATCCAGCACCATCTCCATTCCGCTGCTGGCCGTGGCGACCGGCTTCTTTCTCTGGGCATGTCCGTTGTCTAAGACAACGCAAACAAGGAGATGGATACTGGACCAAAACTGGCTGCCAAAGACCAGCGCAAACGCATCGGCATCACTCTCGCTTTCCTTGTCCTAACCCGTGTTCAACAAGTGCCACAACTCTGGTCACCACGCAGTCCTGTTTTAGATGCTCTGCAAGTGCAGCATGCAATCAATCTGGGCCTGTGTCGGCCGCAACCTGAGATGTTCCTCTACAGAGGCTGCTTCCATACTCGCCCAAGCCAGCAGCTTCGCCACCGTCTCTGAGCGGCCCAAATGCTCCACAAACAAGTAAAACCTGCATCTCTTGTCACGGTGATACCGGCACTGGCAGAAGGCCCGCAACTTGCCCGACTCATGGCTGAAGTTGTCAAAGTAAATTTTACAGTCAAGGCCCGGAACTCTGGATTGCACAGGGGCCTGGCGAAGGTCGGGATGCAAAGCCGAAGGCTCGTTGGCCTCAATGGCCTCCGACATTACAAAGGCTTTAAGGTCCTCTAAAACAGGCCTCTGCTCACCTTCATCACCACTCACATCAGATTCGTCCCGCAGCCTCTGAGCAAGACCCCGGACTCGCCGTCCGGCTGCTTTGTCCTTGCTGAAAAAGGCTGTGATGTCGCTCTGCGACATGTGAGCGATGCTACTCAAATCCGCAGCAGCCAGCAAATACTCATAGTACGCCTGCTTCTGCTCGTGAAACATTCGTGGCAACTTCCCCGGCTTCTGAAAAATCCATGGTGCTAGGAACAAAGCCTTCAGATGCGACTCGGTAAGAGTCAACACATTCTTCGGCAAACACCCGGGAACATCATCAGATGAAATCTGCTCAGGGGTGTCCTGCCCAGGATTGAGCCAGTGCCATCCACTTCGCACAAGAGCCCTCACAAACTCAAGTTTGTTGGTACCCTTCTTTCGGGACCTGTTGAGGAGCTCCACTCTTGCATGGCTCAAAGGCAGGGGTCGACTCGGGTCGACCCAGAAGGTTTTGGGCTGCAGCAAAAACGGAGCCACCAAGGCGACCTGGGCATCCCCGAAGTCGTCAAAGCGGACGCAGCACGTGGCTCATCGCCACGTTGTGCTCTGCTGACAGCCTAGACAAAGAGATCTCGGTCGACCCCAGAGCACCGGCATTCACGAGGGCATCCGCCACCTGCCGCTCCTCTTGGGAGAGAGAAACGGCGGCACTGCCCACTGACAACCCCTTGCCTGCCTGCCTCTCTGACAAAATGTCTGCCTGTGCTACCAAGGAGTTCTCTACTACTTGCTGCACGAAAACATCCAGCTTCATGTCATCATCCACCAATTCATCGCCTGCATTGATGTCTGGTAGGGCAGGGAAGAGGTCTTCCTCAGGCCCGGCAGGCCCGCTCTGAATCTCTAACCGCATGCCCGCAGACTCAGCAGACCAGACACAAACCTGCTGAAACATCGACAACACGAGGTCACGTGTGCAGGCTCGCGACAGATTCAGCATAGTCACAGACGACCCAGACCCACACACCTCAACACGATTGCAAACACCGTCTACATTCGTGATCGGGCGAAAGTCCGAGAAGATCTGCACCAGCATCCCGTTTCTGCCTTTGTCCTCAGCGAGACCCTGTTTCACAGACGCACGATTTTCGGGTCGGGCATCGATGACCTGACAGTAAACCGTTCCTCCGGGGACCAAGTCCGGGAGTCCGAATTCTTCGTCACCAAGAGCCTCAGACAGGAGGTCATCATCTAGGTCATCTTCAGCAGCATCACCTTCCTTGCCCTCCTCCTCCGGCTCATCATCTGCTGAAAGTAGTTCGAAGATACTTCGGGGGAAGGAACATAGGGTGCCGTTGCTGAGCTGCTGCTTCAGAAAACTCACCCACTGCCTGTGGCCGGGCTTCAGGACTGGCCCACTCGCCGCTTGGTTGGTGATGGCTGCTACAGCAGCAGCCTTGAAGGCTTCAGCGGACTTCAGCGGCCACCTCCATGTCGTCGACGTCGTGGAAATGATCAGCCAAGCTGTAGCAGTAAACACGCGACAACCGCTTAGCTTCGCTCATTCCTGCTATTTCGGTCGGACTCAAAACGTGGCACAACAGGTCCTGAAACAATGATCTCCTCGCCCATTGCTGCATCACATGCAACCTTCGGTCACCGTCGCTGGTCACCATTTGCAGGACCGGATTCCGACGAAGCCGTGCACAGGTTACGGCAGGCTTCGCCTTAGTGAAGCCTCGGCGAAAAGCCCACTTGATGCCTCGATGTTGCGACTCTAAGAACCGCTCTGCCATGGGGCACCACGCTCGCTCCTGGATTTCCGCGAACGCCCGTGGAAATTGTCGCAGCGACCTCAGTGTGCGACCACCAGTGATGTCCTGCTGGGCAAACTGCCATAGTTGACGGCTTTCGTCACTTTGTTTCCCGCATAGGAAAACACTGATAGGATCTATGCTGACGCCGGCCTCGGCAGCTGCAGCATATTCCTGGAAACACGACTTTGCGAACCCTATGACCTCAGGCAAAGACTTATCTACGCACAAACGAAAGATACCTGCTACTTTGAAAGGCAGCTTCTGGCACCAAGCGAACTTGTCTCGCAGGACCGCTTCCAAGTTCTGTCGCACTAGACCATCTGTCCGCAGAATCTCATTTGCCAGATCTTGGTCAAACTTCAGCAACTCATTGTTCAAATCACTAACACTCACCTCACGAATGATGTCCAAAAACTTCTGAGGGCCATCCCAGGCGAACACACACAGACGCTTTCCTTTCCACGCACACAAGGACCCCGTTGCTGACGGACCCGTTTGAGGGTCCAACAGCCTCTTTGCCGTTCTCGAACGGGATTGCCTGAAGGATATGTCCCCCTCATGGCAAAAACATCCTTCCAGCCACCTTGAACATTGGCCCACAGCTCCGGAGAGAACGCTTGTCCACAAGGTCATTGCCCGGTTCTTCGTGCTGCCCAAAGCAGCACGAATCACCTGGGCAAGTTTCCTTTCGGACGCTCCCAGAGACCCGCCATGCCACTTCTCTGTTAGGATTGGGGCTACTTGCTTCCAGTACTTTGCACAATACTCGATGCTTTCCCATCTCCAATCGAGCACTGCAACATCCAGCCCACGTATGAGCTCTTGGTCTGCTGCTGACAGGCCAGGTGTGAATTGAAGCACAAGATCTACATAAGACTTCTGCGAAAAAACCCTGCCCACAGCCCTCAGCTCCGTCTCGTACGGGCCCCACAACGGGGAAGTTTTGAGAGCTGATTCAAGGGCATTGAAAAGAATGTGCATTACTCCGGGAATGCCGTAAGCATTGTGCACAAAAGCAATGTTGCCCACCTCATCCAGCTGCACGTCTCCGGACAGCAGGCCGCGAGCAAGGCTGTTCAGGGTTGCATTTTTCTCATGCGGAAAACCGAACAGATGCTTCTCCGTTCCCTGATCGCTCAAGTAGCCTTTGACTTCACTCCGATACATGTCTATGTTTTCTGCACCCTGTTCCTGCTGCAGAACATGAAGCAGACGACAGAATTTCATTGATGCCGAGCCGTGCCCACGTGCCAAGGTCGTGAGGGGCAACGTTCGCCTGTGCCAGGTGAAACCTCCAAAAGCATCGAACTGTCAGGAAGTCCAAGGCGGGACTCCTTTCCAAAACGTCCTCAGTAACTGCGAAGTAATCGTAGCCACCTTGGGGCGACGAGTCGCTGCCCAGGTAGCGGGCACGCCGCCACCGTGGATCCCCGGCCTTGTTGAAGATCCGATTACTCCATGTGTGAATCAAATCCAATTTGATCATGTCCCTTGCAAAAGTCTTTTTGCTTTTCGGAACTGGCACGTTCGCCGGCTCCAAGCCCATGGAGGGCAACAGCATGGCGCCCACCATCTGTATGATGTCGGGGATGTCTTGCAAGTTTTGAACATGATGTGCTACACATGCATAGAACAAATGCAAGTCCACGGGAACATCCTCTCGCTGGGAAACTCCTGTGTTGCTGTTGCCTGCAGCAACAGCAACACGCCCAGGCTCAGGAGCTGCCCTCACAGAATCCACCACGATGCCGAGCGCCGACGTCAAGCATTTAGGACTGATCAAACTTCGGGCATGCCTCCCGCGAAACTCCAAAGCTTCCTGACCTACTGCTGCTGGAACAATGAGAACTCTATGTGCCTTTGCTTTGTGTCTTGTCGCAAACTCCCGGTACCGGATCTGCTCTCCTGCGGCTGCAAGATGATCGTAACACCATCCTGAAACCGCATCAACCAAAGATGGCGATGTCAAGGTAGTCACCTTCTGCATCTGTCCACCAGTTAAGCTGGCTTTGCCTAGAAGTTTCTCTTCCGTAGCAAAAAAAATTTCTGCTCACGGACCACTTACAGAAGTTTTTTGTTTCAACGTCTTTGCTTTGTGCAGTATCCTTCCTTCTCATGAAAGAAGTTACGAACTGTTGCCACTCGGCCAACATCCGTGCAAAATCTTTCTGCAACACGTTGGCTTCGAGCTCTTCAACAGTCTCCAAAACAAAACCGCCCAAAAATCTCACCTGATCAGGGCGACGCGATTCACGAAATGCTCCTTTCTCGAACGAAACAAGCAGGATGTGGTCCCCACGGCGGACCTTTTCCCGCAGGGGGTGATGGTTCGGAGGCTGCTTCCTCTGAGAGGACGCACTTTCCTCGAAATTCAAAACTTCCGGCTCCATGCTGTGTGACGAAACTCACAAAGGGACTTGATTCGGGCCCGATGCCTTCGGAGGGCAGTTTGGTACCTAAATCTGCGATTCCGGCTCATACGTCACTTCTGTTTGTTTTGCGAACCCTAAAAACGTTGTCATTGTTTGAGCGACAAATGACGATCCTAGTCTGGCGGGCTCCAAAACCACGGCTATTCGCGACGAAAATCAACGACACGAGTGCGGACCCCTGCAAAACAGCAAATTTTGGAACCCTCAACCAAAACACATCGATGCTATGAAAATCATACCAAATAATCGAACCTCAGCTGAACCCCAGTTCGGGTTGCCACCCCCGTGGCGATGTAGCCCCCGCTTATATGACACTGCCCAACATCCGACGAAGCGCCGGGAAGCGATCAAAATGCACTGCCGCGCGAGGCCCAAGCAACTCAGGAGGACACTGGGGATGTCGCAGAAATTCCCCCGAAGGAGGGACACCTACCAGAAGACTATCCTCTATTACGTGGAGCGACATATCAAGGGCTACTTCAAGTGCCCTGGCATGTCAACATACATTGCTTCGTCTAGATGACTGAAATCTTAAGGGGTGCCTACACACATAGATCCTCGCAATCCTGTGCAACAAGGCTGAACCAGAAGATGCTCCTCAACAAGAAGTCAAGCTGGTCAGAGAACGGTGTGGACGGCCTCGGTGAGTTGTCTTTGGACGGCTCGCCAGACCAGGCTTCGTCGTCAGGCCTGCACGTTCTTCGTTCGTGCTGATTACTGGTGAGCCCTTACATACCGGACATCTGTAGCTACTGTTGGGTGCTTCTTTTTACCAGGCCCTGCAAGATCCTCCTCGGATCTTGTTGCCACGGAGGGCAATGCTTCGATTTCCAGAAGGAAGGGGTTCACCCCGAGCCACCGGCCAGAAAGGATGGCCAGGAGAAGGGAGAGGATGGGCGAGCCAGCAAGGCTGCGGATGGCAAAGAAAGTGTGGAGTTTGGCAGGCTTCGGTCCAAAAGCTCCAGCTTCGGGCATGATTACGGGAATGACCGGCAGCACGAGAATGCGGAGGAGAAGCAACGTTGGGAGCCAGCCGATGACGATGGTTGTTTGATTGTTTTGGAAACCATTAGCACCAACGAGAGGGCCGCCAAGCGTGCAAAGCTGTTGGCATTGATGCAGCAGATTAGTGCTGCCAAGGGCAACCGGTTTCATGTCTGATTTTTCTTAGCCATGGGTTTCATGTATGCATGCATGTTACAAAGTGCTGCATGTTTCATGTCTATTGTCATGAGTCATGAGACATCTCATGCACATGCTAAACCATGAGTTGCTGCTCAGGCTCATGGACTTGACCTCTCCTTGGCCAATGCCAGGCTCGCTGCTGCGGTTTGCATGGTGTATGTTTTCGTGATATCTTGTTGCATGTTCCATGGCACCGACATGTTAACTCATGGACTATGAGTCACAAGATGGATCTGTGCATGCCTGTGCTTGCCCAGACAAATCCCGGCCGTTCCGTGACCTTTCGAAGTCGTCTGTGCCGATCAGCGAGGCCTGCCAGATCTGAATTCTAGCACGCGACTTGCACGATTGGTTTCGGGTTTGGTGCTTGGTTTAACTTGTGAGTGGTTTAGGGTTATAGGTAGGGCTTATAAGGCTTCTAAGGCTTGCAGGGTTTATCATGGCTTAAAAGGGTTTAAGCTCTTAGCTTTCTGAGGTGTGGGGCTTTTGGGCTTCCGGGTGTATGCATATGCACCTGCATATTATATATTATATATTATATAATATATATATATATATATATACCCTGTACTTCCAAACCACGTAGGTAGCGGGTGCGTTGTCCAAAAGCACCGTCTTTACTGAAACCACGTGTTTTACTAAGTCGACTCTTCGCATATTAATACCCGATAAGTTCGAATCCAATCTACTTCAACAGCCCTAACCTTGCAACACAAAGCGGCAGCAGCAGAGCAACAGCTGGCCGGCCTGATGTTCACCGGCGAGTGCGCCCCCAGATTTTTAAGCGATTTCTTTCGGTCGCATTGCGGTTCAGGTGACACATTCTACGTCTCATCGAAAGCAGACGATATCTGCTGTACTTGATCACTGCATGCTCCAAATTTTTTTTGTCGCTCCGATGAGCGACCCCTCAGCTACCGGCTATTGAAGTTGCACGGAATCACTTACACGATAAAATTCAACTAGAAACGGGCAACTTGGAGCCAAGTTGCCCTTAAGCCACCTCATGGCATCTTCTTCCCGGAACGTGTGGAAGTGCCTCGTGTTCAATCCTTATCTCGATCGAGATTGCTCGTGATGCTCTGCCTTATCAAACTTGGCAATGCGGGTTCATGGTGCAGCCGAAATTCGTCGACATCGAACGTCTTTCAACTGATGGTGAAAGGCCTAGGTTTTCACTCAGCTCCAGAGTTTCTGAACGAAGGATGGATGGTCTGTTGTAGACAAGTAGCATGCATTTTCGGACGGATATGCCAATGAAGCTTCATCATCCTGCAACAGTTGAAGCACAAGTAAACAGCTAGAGCCTGGGGTTTAAATCATAAGCCTCATAGAAATCTTGCACAGCACGAGGTGGCACCGGAGGTACTTCATACCATGGTCATAGATTGTATCGGCTGCTGCCACAGTCCTGAGATACTTGCGATCAACCAAGCATCGCAGATTAGAAAGTTCAGCTTTGGCAAGCGAGCCGCAGGTACCGACCATGCTTTTCCACTTCCTGGAACCAAGCACACAGCGATTGCCTCGGAGATGCAGGGATGACGAAGGGTATTGGCGGTCAACTATGTTTTTTGGGGTGAGATAGTGTGAAGCAACTGGCATGAAGCATTCAAGCAGCATTGTCACTGCAATAAGTTCTAGTCGTTCGTCAGTCGGCCAGGCTTGGCTTTGAAGTAGCCACTTGCAGATTTCTCGGTGGGGCTCCGTAGATCGTGCCACAGCCTTTTGCACACAATCGCCAAGCCAGTAAGCGATGATCTTGCCATTGTGCCCTTTGTGGCCCATATGAGCCCCATGTGTCGCAGGCTTCCAAACCTTTGCTAAGCAGAGCATGAGGTAACATTCCCCACCGGCTTTGACAAAAAAACAAAAACACCTGCTAGATGCAGCCCGGGTTCAAACCTCGGCACAAACTTAGTTTGTGAGCATTTCTGACCGGTGTGGCGTTGGAATGCTTTGAAATCCCGGAAAGCGATGACCAGTAGTTTCTCGAATGTCAGGCTCTGGGGACATCCGAAATATCCGTTCTCGATCAGGAACATCCTTATTCAGAAACAAAGCCACGATAGCATAAATTCTATGCACATTCTGTGAGTCTCAAATATGGGCAAGGCTCAGCGTGGAACCATTGGCATCTTGGGCGATGCCCAAATTCATGTTGTGTAGTGAGCAGTGGCAGATCATGTCAACATGAAAGGCATGCAAGCCCAAAAGTGGACCTTAGAGTACAGGGCTGTGGTTTCTGAGGGGTTCAACACCCAGATCGAAGGCCCTAACGAGTCCTCAACTTGTTGCTAATTACCGCAAGGTTTCAAATACTCTCCCTCTTCACGATGTTGGCCAGAAAAGAAAAATTGGAAATAGTGGTTGCTTCCCAGGTTGGGTCATCGTCGAAATCATAGCAGCTGTGGGCGGCATCGGCATGGTGCTCAGCGTGGCATCTCCAGCATATCCACCGGGTTTTCCAATATCGTCTAAGTCGTCTAAGTTGAAAGGTGTGATAATGAAATTCCCAGTCCCCCTTTATTTCAGTAACCGAAAACTTGTGTGGTAGAGGGCATCCTTCCGGGGTTCGTCCATAGAAAGCCTCATTCAAGGATTCCACAATGGCGAGATATAGAGGATTCAGAGTCTCTGGGCCCAGTGAACGGTCGGCATCCACACTGAAAAGAAGCCACTGTGACATTCTTGTTGACTTGGGCCGCCATAGTGGCAAGCTCATGAAGCATCCAGTAATCTTAGATTGATCATACCCCTGCCCATACCGAGCGGTGTCACCGTAGATAGTGACAGGCACATGCTTGCCATCCAGGTCGTTGTGCGAGGCCCATACACAAAATGATTTCTGGTGCTGCCAATACTCGTTGATGTCCTCCGGTTGTATCAGTAGTCCCAGCATATTAAACAGATACAGAAATAGACGATGGGGTAGAAGCACCGGAATCTTTTCCTCAACCACCATCGTAGAGTCTACTTTGGCTTTGACACGTGTTGAGATCATGACCGGCTCCTATCAGGGCGTCATCAGTTCGTGGTCCAATTTTAGGCTAGTATACCACCCGAACAAAACATCCACCCAATAGGTTATTCTAGCCCTAAACTCTACACCTTTAAACTTTTGAGGTCCCACCACTGGCAGCTTCATAGATCTCTCAAAGTCTCGGGCATTGTTGGCACCGCTGTAGGAGCCCAGCTTCACTAGTGGTGCGGGTAGACTTCCACCGGCATCCTCATCGAATAGAGCCGACCAATTAATGAGTTATAGTCTGCACATAAAAGACGAGCTGCTTTCACTGACGACTTCGCCGTTCTCATTTCTTTGCCGATCGAGGTGTCCTGGGATGCAAGTACTAGAGTGGATCAGTGCGGGCCCCGTATCTGCGGCAGTGCACTTACTGAGATTGAGCCAAGCCACAGCCGAAGCGATGTTGTCAATCATGTCAGCAACGACTCCGGAGTGCTGTCCATCCCTGAAGCTAGCACCTGCGAGGGTCGAAAGGCTTAAAGGCTTGCTCTTCATGAGATAAAAGCCCGTGACTCCCTAGATTTGTCACTCTTCTTTGTCGCCAGTCGCAGCCCACCAACTCATATCGCACGAGTGCTTGAAGCCCCTGCTCGCACGTAGATGCTACTTGGTAGGATGACTGATTGCACCTCGAACAAACTGCCCGAGGGGCGGCGTGACCCCCACACCTAAGAGTGCATCAAAAGGCCTTCCTGAAACAAGAAGTAGTATGTAAGTGAAGCATCATGTATTCATATCCACACTCCAGGCCGCTGTGTGATGCTCCTCTTAGGATCTAGTCTCCACCCTTCTTCTCAGTCTTCTTCTTAATCCCAACCGTGAGCGATCCCTCGGCTTGGTCCAGAACATCCTTGGCAGCCGTCGTCTTGTCGGTGATCTTGCTGTCCTGACAACAAGCCGAATAAAATCGGAACTCATTCAAGGATACTAATGTGCATGTGGTGTCCTGAGCCGAGTCCAGCGCCGTCTGCAGGTGGCTACGGGCCGAGGTGAGCTTCTTCACCACGGCCTGGAGATCCTTCTTCAAGGCGTCCCGGACAACCTCATTCCTTGGCAAAGGTGTGTAGTATAATGCGAATAAGGCAAGTTCGGTATTCGGTTCTGGGCCCCGGACAAAGCACCGACCTCTTTTGAGTCGATCTTCGTGGTCGCATCCTTGATCTTCCGGTTGAGGGTGCTGATAACCTGGCGATGCAATTGAAAAGTCGTCTCGCGAACAGACCAGAAAGGACTACCGGAGTGAAGACTGCCTTCTTTCCCTCCTGCTGCACCTTCCGGCTTTGCTCCTTGTCCAAACCCTCTTGGGTTTCGGCCCTCCTTAAATTCTTTCCCTTGCCTCCCCTCTTCCTCTTGTTCTTCTTGCTCTTGCTTTTCTTATCTTTCTTCTCCTTCTTATCTTTCTTAGCCTTCTTGTCCTTGGACCTGTTCTTCTTCTTGGCAGCACCGCTGCTGCTGGACTCCTCGCCACTGTCCTGCATCCAAGAACGTACAAATTAGGGAAGGTTTGGTGTTCAAGGGCCACACGTACATAGCCCGGTCCTTCAAATCGTCGTCACTCGACTCGCTTTCGAGATGCTGCTCCGTTTTGAACAGCTGTTCGATTTCATCTTCGCTTTCGTCCACCTCCTCGTCCTCGACGAGGACGAGGTATTGTTTCAGTCCTGCTGTGTTTCTGGTGGCTCCATTGCTTAAGTTGTTTCAGCAAAGTGGAACAATGTCAAGATCATCCTGCCTGGCAAGTCCGGGTGATCTCGGATCTCGGCTTCGGCCAGATCCTTGTCTGCCTCTTTTCGCAACACAATAGCCTCCACGACGGATTCATCGCCAAAGTGTGCCAGAAGCTGGCTCTTCGTCAACCATCTGCGTGCAGCCCGCTTGCCGTTTTTGTGTTTGTGGCGGATTGTTTTCAGCACCATACTATTCACCCATTTGCCACCACACTGGACGAAGTCCTCGTACAGTGCAGACATCTGCGTTTTGCCTCGGAAGACGAGATAAGGTAGGGACTAGGCCGGAATTGGTATGCGATTGAGGCAAAGGCAATACTTGAAGCGGTCGAAGGCATTCTTGATTTCCATCGGGGTTTCCCGACCTAACACAACTCACAGGAATATCATATTGGAACCGTGCGGGGAATGAAAGAAGAATTGAGCACTCGATCCAGGCCCAAGGCTTTCATGCACTGATCGCCAGAACCTCATTTAGAGCTTGTGGGCCTTCTTCTTCTTCTCTGCAGCCTCGGGCTCTTGCTTGGACTCTTTGCTCTCATCCTGCTGGATCTTTTGGCTCTTCTTGGGGCTCCTCTCGGGGGTCTCGGCACGGGTCCTCTTGCTCTTCTTCTTGGGGCTCTGGGCAGCACCGTGGGGCGGGGCCGGGTTCTTGGAGTCTTTGTCGGCGCTCTGGGCACGGGGTTTCTTCTTGGGCTTCTCGGCGGGACTGTTCTCCTTGCTGTCCTTGGGGGCGTTTTGGGCATCTTTGCTGCTGCTTGGTGTGGTCGAAGAGGGGCTAGCCTTTGCCTGGGCCCTCTTCCTACCTCCTTTCGTGGCGATGCGTGCACCGCCCGACAGCTTGGTAGCTGCAGTGGCCGGAGGGTCTTTCGAGCTTCCTGCAGTTGCATGATCCTTCATTTCGTAGGCGGCTTGCTTGGCTTCTTCTTCTGCTTGCTTCTTCTCATCCGGGGTTGGTGGCTTGTTCTTGGCTGCTGGCTTTGGCTTGCCCATATCGATTAGCTTCTTGTTCTTGCCATCGGAGGATGGCGAGCTTGCCGGCTTGGCTGGTGTTGTGGGCTGCTGGCTTGCCTCCTTCAAAGCAGCACTCAAAGACCTCTTCGGAGCACTCGTTTTGGCTGCACTCGAAAGCTGGCTGTCGCACGATTTCGCACGGACACGGTTCTGCGGAGTTTCCACCACCACGGTCTCCTGGGTATCCGTTCTCAAAGGCTTAGCTCGGCCTTGCTGGAAAGCCTTCTTTCCTGTAGACTCAGTCGAAACCTCGACCTTCGGCCACGGGTTTTGGGCATCCTCAACCTGACTGTCGTAGGACCTGCGAGCGACTTCAATTACAGAGTTCGTAGTGACAGGTAACATTCATGAGTCATGCAGGGCAAGCCGAGGCATCGACCATGACTGCGTAGATGGGGATTTGGAGCTGTTCGGCTTCGATGCTGGGGGTGTCGGAGTACTCGGGGCCCGGACCGCCCTAGCCCGGGCTCTGGCAAGCACATCGTCCACTGTCACCATTGTACGAAGCAGCAACCCACCCCAGGTAAGTGCTAGGATCGCAACACAAAAGCCTCAAAGTGGCTGAACACAGCACGTACCGTGCAACGGTGAACCTCCGAGAGTGTCACTGAGTGCTCTTGCAGACACGATGGTTTCATGCCTTTCCGGAAGTGCTTTTTTGGGCACCTAAGTTTCACGGGGTTTGGGGTGGGTTTCACGGGGTCTGGGGTGGGTTTCACGCTGGTTTCACGCTAGTTTCACGGTGGTGTGTTTTGCTGCTGTTTCACCAAAGTTTTGTTCAGAAACACAATGGAACCTGGCACAGGTCTTCGAGTTCTTCCTGCTGGGCAAGAGAAGCCTGGAGATGTGGGTGATGTTTGGGGCCGTCGGCGCCTTAATGCATCTGGGTTCCAAACAATTAACATACATTACCGACGACCTATGCATGCACCAACCTGTCTATCCAGAACCAGCAAGATAGTTTGCTAGGAGATTGCCACATGGGATTGCAACACCCTACAACCTCTAAGGTTAGGGTTTGCCAGGGTTAGGGCTTGGAGTTTGGGACTGAAAGATTCAAGTTGGGGTCCACACTGACCGGGAGAGAGGCTAGGCTTCAGGCGGTTTATCAGGATCAACATGTGGGTTTGGGATTGAAAGGTGACTAAGGTTTAGCGGTGCCGGGGTTTGGGATTGTTTAACAGTACTAATCTGCAGACTCAAATGCCAGCATCGGTCCTTCAAGATAGGACCCTCTGAAGCCTAACCCGTCCTTCGATCTAACTCGCAGTTCTCTTCTCAGGCTGAACGAACTGAACGAACATTCCAAAGTTAGTGGAAGGCCCAAAGCCCTCAAAGTATTAACTCCAAAGAGGCAGCCGAAAGTAATTGTTTTTCGGTGTCAGCAAAGCGAGATCGACTCGTCAGGCCAGCGAGAGTGCCTGGGATTTCAGTGGGGTTTTAGCCTGGCCTCAGGAAGTAAGTCCTCCTACTGGTGTACGTGGCCAGCACGGGCCTAGTTTAGTTTGAAGACTTAAAAGATATAACTGTTGATCAGGGTCTAGGGCTAGGGTTTATTTGGGTTGGAAGGACAACTCCCTCGAGCCAATATCGTAAGAACAGGTTGTGTGGCAACAGCTCGGGCTCCCTACTCTGGGGTTCCGACAATTTACTGAAATTTATTTACCAGAGCCCGAAACCTATGGTCTTGATTTTGGTATATTTGACACCCCACCTCTCGCCTAGGTAAACCAGCCTTTCCGAAACCAACGTACCTTGCATAAACCTCGAAACCTCATCGTGTATGTGGCCCAGGTCGGGATCGAGTCTCCTCTCCGGGAGTGAGGTGCGACCTGACTACAGTATCTCCTGGCTTGAAGTTTGTGGGTGGGTGCCTTGAAGACTTCCGTGGTCAGGCGTGGAAGGCAGTAGGTTTGGCCTTGTTAATGCAATGCTCATGGGACCAGCTTAGCAGGGCCAGGTCAGGCTTCCTAGGTCCTAGAGGGCTCACACGATCGAGGAACGAGAAGGGCATCGGATGTGATTGGTTCGGGCTGTGGCACGATCTACTAAAGGACCCGGAGCTCGGTTACTTCAGAAGAGTCGCTGAGGTGCAAAGGGCTCAAATAATCAGGATCGCTTCAGTAGCCCTACCTGGAACCCCAAATTTATGATTTGACCGGGGCTTTTTCATCAATAAAACTAGCCATCTGCGGCGACTAGGCACACTAACCCCAACAAAGCTGTGCTTATCTGCTAATCTATGTCGAAGTAATATCGGGTACAGGACATATAGTGGTTCCGACATACACAGTGAGTCCTGGGGTTTCAGGCCAAGGGGCTAGGGTTATAGGCTTGGGGTTCTGGGCATAAGTGTTATTTATATTATAAATCATAGAATCATATTATCTAAGTTATACCAGTCAGGGCTTTAAGGTGTCATATTCGTGCGGGGTTCATGGCCGCGCGGCTGCTGTGGAGCTTGATGCTTGCGACCCCGCACACGAGGTTGAACTTCTTGCCGCTTCGTGCCTCCGAAATTCAGCATTCAGAGCTCTAGACTTTGAAATTGTTTATCGGACGACAACTGCATACCGGCTGAAACGTGAAAGCCCAGAACCCCGATTACCTCGAACCCGTACAGCTAAACCTTCTATCCTCTACCCTCCCTACAATCCCTTTCAATATATCAGACACCGAGAAGAATCCCTAAGGCTATTATTTGAAAAGCGTAAAACTGATGCCGGTAACATGGATTGGAAATATTCAAAATTCAGCCGTGACCACAGAAGCAATGCAGCAACAGACTTTGCCGAGCTAGCCACCTGCGGAGACATACTGGGTTCCCAGGTCACCACTCGGCAGCTCGAGTAGCAAAATCCCACCTGACAACCACGAAAACGAGCTTGGAAACGAAGACAGCTCCAGCAAGCCGTCGCTTGGGCTCCAGGCGCTTGCTTCAATGTGGAGAACTTCGACCAGCCGATCGTGAGGCCGCTCTTCTTGTTGATCTCAGTTTGTTCAGGGTTACCGATGTGGAGGTATTCAGTGTAGTCGCTCTTATTTTTGAACTACACGTACAGTCTGGGTCAGGGGCTTTAAATTCAAAATCGCTCCAGCCCTTCTTGTTCAGCTTGTCGATGACAGCTTGTCGTACTGGGCCACTAACATAAAAGCTGCCGCTCTTGAACTGGAACCTCAGTGCTAGCCCATGTAAGTCCAGCATCAAAGGATCCTTGCTGAGCATGCGAGCAAACTTGTTGGGATGCCGGCACGACTGCGATTTTGCACTCAGAGGCATCATTCTCGAGTGTCCAAGACCTGGTACAAGAAGCTTCAGAGCTGTGTTATCGAGTCAACCTTCCTAGCAATTTGAGGATCCGGCCTTGTCCCTTCGAGAACACGATCACAAATCAAGAAGCGTGGGTCCGAGGCTTCGATGTCTTTCATCTCGTCCAGCCGCTGTTGCATCTGCCACGTGCAGGACCGACTCTCATTGACCCATGCACAGAAATCAGGATCGGGCAGGGCGAGTGAGAGATAAAGAAAGGAACATCGCAAAACCGAAGCAAGCACGGAAGTTCTATTGGGTTTATTCGGAACTGTCACTTGCCTGCGGAGGCAGCGGTGTTTCCTTTGGCTTGGCATCCTCCTGTTCCTCTTCCTGCTGCTCCTCCTCGTCTTCCTGATCTTCCTGCTGCTCATCCTCGTCTTCCTGATCTTCCTGCTGCTCATCATCGTTTTCCTCATCCTTTGCCTGATGGCCTTCATCCTGTCCCTTCATTTCTCTTTCATCCTCATCTTCCTGCTCCTGCCCCTTAGCCTCTTCATCGGCCTTGCGAGCCCTTTTGGCCGATGCTTTCGGAGCAGCAGCTGCAGGCCTTTTCATTTGGCGGCCTCGGCCCCTGCCCCTTCCCTTGCCTTTGCTTTTTTTGTTTGCTTTCTCTGGCAACGATTCCGGTGTCCTTGGCTGCGACTCATCATCAGCAGCATCCTTGCCAGCTTTGCGGAGAGCTGATCTTGTTTTCTTTTGGGCCTTCATTGCAGGGGCAGATATTCCAGAAAGAGGAATAAACTTGGGTCACAGACAGAGAGAGAGAGAGAGAGAGAGAGAGAGAGAGAGAGAGAGAGAGAGAGAGAGAGAGAACACGAGATACAAGAGATAACGAGAGAGAGAGTGAGAGAGTGAGAGAGAGAGAGAGAGAGAGAGAGAGAGAGAGAGAGAGAGAGAGAGAGAGAGAGAGAGAGAGAGAGAGAGAGAGAGAGAGAGAGAGAGTGTCCTATGCCATTCGAAGAGAAGAGAGGGACGAAAGAGATGAAAAGCAAGAAGGCGTTCAAGCACTATTCCATGAAGCCTCCAAAACCGTACGAGGATCGTCAACCTGTTCTTCCCGAAGCTTTGCAGCTGCTTGCTCAAGAGTCTTTCGGGAAAGCTTCGGCACTGGAGCAGCATGATCTCCCTCGTCCTGAGAAGGCATGCAGTAGCAACCCGCCTTATTTATCATGTGACAGAACAGTTCGAGCACTGCAGATGTGGATCTGTCCTTAAAGGTACCCTTATCATCATTGTCACTCATATACTCTTTTTCCTCTTCCTCCTGCTCCTCTTCCTGGTCTTCCTCAGCATCCTTACCCTGAGCCTCCTCCTTCTCGGCGGAGGAGCCATCGCCGTCCTGGCGCGGCAGCTACGAGCAGCACCAGCAGAAGCCGTGGGTTAGGGAGAAGTACACGGTGGGTGTTTACAAGAAATAGCAACAAACCATCAACTTCCAATCAATTCAACATTCGGGGCTTGTGGTTTGTGCCTCGATCAACCGAAGAGTTTATTGATACTAGAGGGTTTCGAGTTCCGGAAGAGAGGCTATGTAAGCTAGGTCTAGGTCAATCATTCTACTTCTAACACAGCTTACTTGAAACAACAAGAGTCGCGGAGCCTTCTTGTCGACTTCATCCTCTGCACCCTGTTCCATTCCGGGCCTCCTTTCGTCTTGAATGTCCTAACAGTGCATATCGCAGAAGAATTTTCCAGAAGACCGATGTGCATGCGAGTTCCGGTATCAACGAAAACATGAGCTCCTGCTTTCGCTGTGAAATCACATCCTTCAGCATCGCCATCCTTTCATGCCCGGCCCTGTGCAGCGAAATCCCGAAAACAGCTATTGTCGTTTGCATCTTGGTCTTAGTGTGGCGAGCCTTGCCCCTTTGTTGCGGTGGGCTCGGTCGCAAGCATACGAAGCCAGGGCTCGCACAGCCGCTGCTTCTTTTTCCATCCAATCCTCAGAAAAGTGGACACAGTTCCCAGTCGAATTGAAGAACACCAACATTCGAGATGGCAGAGGTGCCGACTGCAATCTCATGCTTGTTCAGGCTGTCAGGCATCAAGCGGAATTCTTCGTGTGCCCACAGCAGACAGGCCTGCCCATCAAGTGATAGAAGACACAGAACAGTAAGCCCTCAGAGCAACAAAAGACACTCTTCGGCAAATGGCCTCCACCTCACGTTTCGTGGGCAGCCAGCCCGCAAAAGTCGCACAATAATCCATCAGAAATGGAAAGTTGAACTCGCTCACCACCTCAACCAGTGGACTGGGCAGCTGAACCTTGCCATACTGATATAAACCCCTGCCCCAAGCCTTCTTTTCGTGCATCACCGGCGTTTTGCCCAGGTCCACAAGGTGGAAGTAGTACTTGCCCTGCCCGTGAGCACAATCCCAAAAGACCTGCTCACCACGACTTATGCCCCGGGCCTCATCCAACCCATCGTGCTCCCTTTGCTTCTTGCACCACTTGATGCGATTCTTCACGAACCCCGGGTTCAGAAACTCCCGGCAGAGGGCCTTGCAGCACACGGGGGGTGACGGGATTCAGTTCGCTTTGGATTTGTCGGGCCATGCGATCATCGTTCAGCTTGCTGTCGGGCATGGCTTGTGGTCGATCCCACAAACTCAAGCTGGAACAAATTGCCACTACTTGTGGCCTGGAACCGAGCAGAGCATGGCACAATACACTGCAAACTTTCAAGCTCGCAACAGCTAGGAGTGTGCAAGCAGCAAAGCTCGGCGGGGGATGCACCATCGCTCTGCTGAGAAAATTTCCGTGCAAGACCTTACTGGTTCAATTTTTGCTGTTTTCAACCGCACGAAGATTGCGATTAGGCCCCGGCGCTTCGCAAACGAACCCGTGATCTTCATGGCCATGCGACCTAGCAGAAGCGATTGTTTCCGAGAGTTATGAATTACAAAGTTGCTTTACCGATGTGCTCGGGGCCCCACCTTGAATGCCAAAACGGCATGACCATCCATCGGGGCCACACCGAAGTTCTAAAGCTTCACTCTTATTCTGATTTGTGCAATGTTGGCTTCTGTCTGGAATGATCAGGGACACACCGGAATTCTAAAGCTTCACTCTTATTCTGATTTCTGCAATGTTGGTTTCTGTCTGGAACGATCAGGGACACACCGAAAATCTAAAGCTTCACTGTCATTCTGATTTCTGCATGTTGGCTTCTGTTTAGACTGATTTCAGGAAATCCATTCCCAGGGCAGCTTGCTTATCGAACTGATGATGGGCCTGCCTCTTGAATCTTAACGACTCCTTGTTTCATGAAACCACGCAGGATCCGAGTGCTTTGTAAACCCACGCAGGAAACGAGTGCGTGGACGATCAGGGTATATATATATATATATATATATATATGCGTCTGCATCTACCCTCCCTCCCTCTCTCTCTCTCTCTCTCTCTCTCTCTCTCTCTCTCTCTCTCTCTCTCTCTCTCTCTCTCTCTCTCTCTCTCTCTCTCTCTCTCTCTCTCTCTCTCTCTCTCTCTCTCTCTCTCTCTCTCTCTCTCTCTCTCTCTCTCTCTCTCTCTCTCTCTCTCTCTCTCTCTGTTAAAGAACGGGGGGGTCCCCCAGGGGTCGGTCTCCTCACCTAGTTTGTCACGTGGCGCCCAAGAGCCAATGCTCAGACTGCGGGAGAACAGCCATCAGGGATACCGAACCAGTGGGGGCAGACTGGTGCAGGCCTGTGGCTTTGTGGACGACTTGGAGCACTACGGCTCCGGTGCTTGTGATCTTACGGGTATTGCTGATTCTCTTGCCTTGGGTAGTGCTAGTTCTGGCGTTGGTTTCTCGTGGAAGAAATGTAGAGCTTTCGCGAGCGATTGGGAGGAGAGGCAAGAGCGTGCAGGCCCACGGGTCCAGGCGCAGGGGCTGGAGCTGAGCAGCTGGGACATCTGGAGCGGAGGCTTCAAACAGGTTGTAATCCCAAGGGCATTTCCTGACGAGGAAGAGGTTCTGTTGGGAAAACGGGGAACCCTGGGCGACAAGCATTCCTTAGCGATTGAGGATTTGCTCAATAGCCTAAGACGCGCGAAACAACGCATAGCGTTCAAACATTGCTCTTGGGACGAGGCGGTCCGCTTCGTACGCCCCCCTCATCGGAATCCCGCCTGCAGAGGATGTGCACGCAGAGGACCTCGCCTTCCAACGGCTCCTTCTGCACACAGTCGGTTCGCGTTCCACGGTGGAGAGGGCTAGCCTGTTGGCTCCAAAATCTTTCGGCGGCCTCGGGGCACCTTGCTTAGTGGATTTTTTGCTTAGTTCGGTAGCCTCGGACCTTCTGCTGCTTCTTAACGGCACCTCCCAGGTAGCACTGATCGCGCGAGACAATTTGAAACAGGCCTTGGAGTCCCCTCCCAGCTTACTCGACTGCCATGATGGCACCCTGCTGCGGGCTCTTAAACTTCTTGCAGGGTATGGCTTGTATGTCGAAGTTTCCACGGACCGCATGGTAGGTAGAATCCTCGACTGCATAGCTGGGGACCGCGCCATGAAGCAGCCCTTGACCGCGGCCTTTCAACCTGATTCCTTTGCTAGAGGGCAAGTCTACTGTAGAGTGGGTAGTGCTGCCAATTCCATCCGTCGCGCGTGGAGCCTTATCCGAGCGGGTGTCCCAGTCCAGGACTGGTTCTCTGCCGATTGTTGGGCTGAGCATCTTGATTTAGCTTGTCCCTTCCCCCCGTCTACTTGCGCCAGGGCAGCTAGACTGGCCTCTGAGCAAGCCGACTCCGACTGGCACATCGAGTGTGCCATCTTCCGACCGGGTGCTGGTTTTCCTCTTCTCCCTGAGGACTGGCCTGCCGAATCCTGGGAGTATGCAAATGGTCAGCCTGATGCTCGTACAACGTTCCTCATGGCTCAGTCTCGTTGTCCTCAGCTCGAGGGCTGGCTTCGCAATGTTTGGGGATGGAGGTCAAACAACACAGGACTGCACAACGTACTCCTATCAAGCACGTTCCTTTGGACCGCTCGGAGATTACTGGGGCCAGCTCTGCTGTGTCCGAACGCCAGATTGGTCGGCTGCCAGTTCGAATAGGTTGGGAGACCTCAGGGGTACATGAAGCTGAACTGGCGGCTATGCTGGGGTCGCTGCGCTACAGGCGCAATAGGGATTGGATGCTGTTGGTTGCTGACCGTTCGGCACTCTTTCATATTCTAAACAGGGTCAGCGGGAACGATGAGGCAGTCCTGTGGAAGCAACGCTGTCAGCCCTGGGTTACACGCTTGTGGCACATCCTTCCGGAGCGGGCTGCTAGCTGGAACCCGGTCGTGCAAACCCCGTCATGGCGGCTCCAACAGGTAGAGCTACCCTCGGCGTGGAACATCCAGCTCCCAGGTGACGAGGCCTCCACCATCAAATGGTACTCCCGCATCGCTTTTTCTAGGTTCGGATTGGTAGGGGTAGACATCAAATCGCACCAAACGCACTCCGCTCTCCCACATCCAGTTCTATAGTCCAGGAGAATCAGCTCCAGGATGAGGGATGTGCTGAGGCGAGGGCCTTTCCTTGTCCACCTGACATTCGTAGGCGGGTCGGTGGAACCTTCGCGTATCTTGTCTGTCAAGGACGGTCTGTCACTTCCCCAGCGAGGGACTTCATTCGGAATCTCTTGCGCCAGGAGGCACTGTCCAGTTGGGCTTCCAAGCCGGTTCAGGGGCTGATTGCCCATGTTAGCCGAGAGATTTTCAAGCCTTGCCTCAACCCTGACCTTTATAGGCACTGCCAAATCCCGGAACGGTGGCGGCGGTGGGCTCTTCCCCGGGACGACCTTCACGTAGACCTGACTCCAATGTTCTTTATTTAAATTATTTAGATGTACACGTTCCATTGGCGGTAGTTGGACTGAACGACTCCATTCAGACGCTGACCTGCAGAGACTCGGGCATAGGTGGATGCAGTTTCGTAGGTTGGATAGTGTCCGTACGTGCCCGCTTTGCTGTCGTGGTCCTTGCACCCCCAGGCATGTGTTGATGAGCTGTGTCCACATGGGTCCCCTAGTTGATGCTCTCCGTGATTCCGTAGAGGCCGCTTTGTCAGAATTGCAGCCTCCAGCTTCGCTTCTTGCAGCCGCGACTGCTGGAGAGCTAGGAACGAAAATTTGGTACCGGGCGTGCCCTCGCCCAGTGACGAGTTGAGGTGGCCAGTGCTCAGCGCTTGGCGCTGGTTGGTAGCCTTCCCTGAGCGGGAAGCTTATCTTTCCGAGGAGCCCAGGGGCAGCTCCCGGGATTGCAGCCATAGGGCAAAAGGACATGACCTCGCGTACCGCGGGGTGCTTCCATTGGCGTTAGGCAAAGCGCTGTGTAGGCTACCTCCTGCCGCCACTCTAGACCATCTACTCCCAGCCGAAACATTTGCAACCCTTCGCCAGCCTGGCCAAGCTACAGCCGAAGCTGCCGCCTTGCATTCTCGTTCCACTCGCATCCAGCGTGCTGTAGACGTCACCAGTCTGTTGCTCCTTGGGCCAGTCTGTTGCTCCTTGGGCTGCGGTTTGTCAGATCGGAGTTCCAGCAGCGATTGGACGCTTGGATTGTTGCCAGTACTCTGTTGGATCACATGCAGCCTGCCGGCGTGCCCCAGGCGATGCCCAATTTACAGGCCGCCCCTCCGCCTCCCAATGGCTTGCAGGAGTGGCTGCGCTCACCGCATGGACAAGGGCTACTTTCAGAACTTAGGTGGTTGCTGCCCTCGAAGGACATCGTGATTAACCGTATTAAGGCAGTTTTTCCAGGCTTGAGGCTTAGTGGGGATGCCATTGTTGCTACCGTGCAGGCTGGCGGAGTTCCCATCATGTTGAGAGGGGTTCCCACGTGGGGTGGAGTGTTTCCGGAATGGAACGCCGTGAAGGCGGCCCTTCAGGTGACCTGCACTTGCGTTAGGAATGAACTACCAGCACCAATCAGCTGCTGTTGGCAATGCGGGGGTATTACCCTCCGTCCTGTTCTCCCACAACCCTGCAAATGGTGCAACCGTGAAAGCGGCGTTCTGGCATGCAGTGGTTGTGGACGCAAGCTGCATACACGTGGACAGTGTCGTGCTTGGAACCGAGGGGCGAGCGTGTACTACTTACCCGGGCCAGCTGAACTCCACGCGCTGTGCCCCGACTGCCTGTGGGTGTGGCTGCAGGCCTGGATGGACTGCCCTAGTAGGAGGCGTCCTACTACGGTAGTCTCGACCCTGGTTAATCACATGGCTGGACTGGTTGCTTCATGTGAGTGCGGGGCGGGCTCGCAGAACTTGCGCTCAGCGCCTACCCTCACGCTGCGTCGGGTTCGTAGGTGGATTCTGCGCCATCTCTGCGCAAGGTCTCGACAAGAGGCTTTTCCCCTTGAACGGTTGCTATCCCGGTGCGAGGCTGCAATGGAGGTACCCGCAGCTTCGCCCCTCCTGCAGGACCTCGTTCAACGTAGCGTGAACACCTTGTGCCGCGAAGGCCAGGCCTTCCTCACCATCGTAGATGCGACCACTTGCATTGCACTTCACGAGCTTGACGGCAGTTAACTGGTGCTCCCTGATGCTTCATGCCAGACATGTACTGCCAAGTGGTAAAAGTTAGAGTCGACGAGCAGCGCTTGCGTTGTAGTCTTG